CAACCAGGACAGAATCTGGTGCCCCAACCGGGACTAGAACCTGGAGTGCTGGTGCTGCAAGTGGAGGTTTAGCCTAGTGAGCTGTGGCGCCAGCCATAGAGTCTTTATACTTTTTATAGATGTATGCAAAATCAATAACCTATGGAGAGACCATTTAACTCCCCCTTTCCTGAGTTTGATGCCTTTTACCTCTTGACTGTTTTTAATCTCTTAATTAATTTGCTCATATATTGGATAAAAGTGATAAAAGTGTCTGCCTTGTGTTGTTCCTGAATTTAGAGTAAAAGCTTTCAATCATTTACTATTGAATGTATTAGCTGTGGGCTTATCATATATGACCATGACTGTATTGACATGTATTTCTTTTATACAAAATTTATAGAAAGATTTTGTCATGGAAAGATGTTGAATAATGTCCAGCACTCTTTCTGTCCTCAATGATATATCTTATGGTCTTTGTATTAATTCTGTTAATTGGTGCATCAAATTTTTTGATTTGAATATGTGGAAACATCTTTTTATCCCAATAATTAATCATTCTTGAAGTGGTTAACAATTTTAATGTGTTGTTTCATTCCCTTTGCTGATATCTTACTGACTTTTTTTTTCTTTTTTCAATCTATGCTTGTAAGGTTTATTCCACTGCAATTTTTTTTTCTTATGATATCCTTGTCTGGACAATGTTAGAGTAACATTGGCTTTTTAAATAAATTTTTAACTGCCTCTTTCTCTTCTTGTTTTGTATTTGGGGAAAATATAAGTTTTAGTTCTTTAAATGGAAGAATTCAGTATTAAAGCCATGAGGAGTGGGCTTTTATTTGATGGGATATTTTCTAGTATTGACTCAAACTCCCTTCTATTCGTCCATTTGAATTTTCTATTTCTTCAAGTTTCAATGTTTGCAGATTGAATGTTTCTAAGTATTTATTCATTTCTTCTATGTTATATAATTTCTTGACACATATTGTTAATTTGGTCATGTGTGATTACTTGTATTTCTGTTCTATCAGTATAATGCATCTGTTTTCATTTCTGGATTTATTTATTATAATACTCTATCTCTTCTCTTAGTTATCCTGCCGAATATTCTGTTATACTTCAATTTTTTATTTGTGTTAAGATATTTTTGACTCCCCTTTTGATTTCTTCTGTGACTTATCAGTTATTTAGGAGCATACCATTTAATCATTGTATATTGATGAATCTTCCTGTTTTCTTTCTGCTATCACTTCCTGGTTTTATACCATTGTGGTCATTTCTACTTGATAAAGTCCAATGTCTGGATGTTCTCTCCACTGTTGAAAGTAGAGTTCTGATATTCTCTACCTTTACTGTCAACATCTCCCTATAATAGATTTAGAATTCTTAAGATTTATTTATTAATTTGAATGACAGATTTACAGAGAGAGAAGGAGAGACAGTGTGAAAGATCTTTCTTCTGTTGGTTCACACCCCCAAATGGCCACAAGAGCCTTTTTGAGTTAAAGTATATTTTATATGATAAAAATACAGCAGTTCTTCACTTTATTAAATTTCTCAATACATTCATGTATTGTTCTCTTAATTTCATTAGTTGTCTATATATGGTTCTTATATCTATTTGATTTTCTTTAAGATAATTATTTTAAATTTTCATTCAAGTAATTTGTACATCTCTATTTCTTTGGGGTTGGTTGTTAGAACTTTTTTATAAAAATGTATTCATTCATTATTCATTTACTTGAAGGGCAGAGAACCAGGAAAAGAGAGAGACAGAGAGACAAAAAGACAGATCTCTTATCCACTGATTAACTTTACAAATGCTTAGAGCAGCTGGACGTGGACCAGAATGAAGCCAGGATCTGAAACTCAACCCAAGACTTCCACACTAGTGGCAGAGACTCAACCAGCTGAGCCACCTGCTGCCTCAGAGAGTATACATTAACAAAAAGACAGAATTAGGATCCAGAGCTGGAATTCAAACTCAGGCACTTTACTTAGTTTTAGAGCATTATTGTATTCTTTTGATGACATCATGTTTGCCTGATTCGTCATTATCCAAATGAACTTGTATGTGCCCTCAAAGGAGCAACACCTCTCCAGTCTTTACAGACTGGTTTCAGTAGGTTAAGATCTTCCTCTTATATTTCTATTCTGATGATATTATCCCCAAGAGAACACTGAATGGAATAAGAGCTAAGTCAAGGGCTTTAGGGGTTTGGATATCATGGCTGTCTGTTCCCTGCAAAAACAGGACTATCTTCAACTCCTTGATCCACAGGGCTGGTGCAAGGATGAGGGTCCACTTCAGGATATGCAGATAATAAACCTTTAACTAGGTATGTGGAGCGGGTGTGACTTTTCTAGGTACCTGGGACAGCTCCCACTGGATCCCTGGGTCCATCCTTGAGAGACAGCATTGCCCTAATCCATGACTAAGAGAGGTCTCTGACTGACTCACAGGGCTTCTTCACAGCTAAAACCATGTCTATTTCTGGAGTCATGGGAAGACTCCTGGTGGGCAGACCTACTTTCAGACTGAGATAGAGAATGACTCATACCAAATTACAGGGCCATTTCAGGACCCACCGTGGGATCAAGTTCAACAGATCACACTACAGAAGAACTAATCATTGTGTCTCCTTCTGTGTGCTTACTGTGCTGTCAATCTGCAGCTGAGACAGGCAGGAGCCCAGATTCTAGGCCTGTCCTTGTTGCGTTCTGTTTCTATAAGAAAATAACTGAGGTTGGCTAATTTATAAAGAAAAGAAAAGCTCATGGTTCTGGTGTTGTCATTGGCTTGGCTTCTGACGGTTGCCCTTTGCTGCTCCTTGCATGGAGGGAAGGAGCAAGAAGTATGTGCGGAAGTGAGGAGCTCACACTGAAAGAAACAAAGCAAGCGAGCAAGCCAAGGATACTGACACACTTTAGAACAGCTTGTTCTTCAGTAACTCATTCAGCCTCATGGAGGCAACATTAATGCTTTCATGAAGCTGGAGCTCCTATTACCCATTTACTTCCCACTTGCTACCCCAATCCCCCAGTGGGCTGCCCACATCTCATGTCAGAGTGATGGTTAAAGTCTGTACTGCTGTGCTTCCCATCTGGCTTCCTGGGAAGGCAGTGGATGATGGCCCAAGTGCTTGCATCTCTCTTGCCTTTCATGTGGGAGACCTGGATAGGGTTCTGGGCTCGTGGCTTCAGCCTGGCCCAACCCTGGCTGTTGTGGCCATTTGGGTAGTGAACCAGCGATGTGTATCTCTCCTCTCTTCCTCTGTCACTTTGCCTTTTAAATAAATAAATACTTTTTTATAATTTTTTTACAATTTTTTTACAAATTTCACAGTTACTTTTTCAACATGAGTCTTGGCACACATAAACCACATCTTTCATTTCTGTACCTGCTTTGGGACTGAGGTTGGTAAGCCTGTCCTGGAAACAACAGAGATATGTATCCAGAAGTTTCCTGTGGTCAAGAATGAACTCAGAATGCAACTTAGAGGGGCAGGAACCAAGAGTTCTCTCAGAGTCTGCAGTGGAGACAGGTCCACAAACCTGGCTATGAAAGTATTGGTTTGTACGACTCCTCCTGGGCTTGTTGGTGGATGGTTTTGGTTGCCGAACCAATGACTAACAGGACTGAGTGACTTGGGTTTTGTCCATTACAACAAAATATTCTTATTGAAATATAATTAGTCGTGATGGAAAACGGGTGAATGAGTAGCATAAGCAGTTATGTACTGTTTTAATCTCTGGCATGCTGACATCATTTGATACCATTAATGTTTTCTCCTTTTTTTCCTTTTAAAGGTTTATTTATTTATTTGAAAGTCAGTTACACAGAGAGAGGAGAGGCAGAGAGAGAGAGAGAAAGAGGTCTTCCATCCGCTGGTTCAGTCCCCAGATGGCCGCAACGGCCGGAGCTGTGCCGATCCAAAGCCGGGAGCCGGGAGCTTCCTCCAGGTCTTCCACGTGGGTGCAGGGGCCTAAGGACTTGGGCCATCTTCTACTGCTTTCCCAGGCCATAGCAGAGAGCTGGATCGGAAGCAGAGCAGCCAGGTCTCGAACCAGCATCCATATGGGATGCCAGTACTTCAGGCCAGAGTATTAACCCACTGTGCCACAGCGCCAGCCCCAGTGTTTTCCCCTTTTAAGATATATTTATTTTTATCATGGTAAATCTAAAAGACTAAAGGACTCATTTTTTAAAGTAAAATGAAATGCAGGAATTTCAAGAATTAAAGTAGAGAAATTAAGAAGACAAGCTTGTTAATGATGATTTTTGTACTAATACAAAAATTTGATCTGGTAATTCCTTAGTATAAATAGTGACAAATATTATATATCTATTGATAATTTTACTATGAATTTTAGAATTTTTCATCATAATAGAAATTGCATAATAATGATATGAGGAAAGTAAGTATATAATGCTAAAATTTTGCAACCTGATCTAAAAGTAGTACTTAAACATTTAAGATATACTTCTTAAGTGTATCTTAAACAACAAAATTGGCAATTTTTGTGACTGAGATGGAAACAAACTGCATGAGTAGTCAAGTTTCTATCCGCCTATATATTATGGAATAAGAAAACAGTTGTTCAGAGGTACTTGGAAATGGAAAAACTCAATGCACACCTAGAGGTCCAGTTTGTTTTTTTTTTAACTTTTATTTAATGAATAATGAATATAAATTTCCAAAAGTACGGCTTATGGATTACAATGGCTTCCCCCCCATAACGTCCCTCCCACCCGCAACCCTCCCCTTTCCCATTCCCTCTCCCCTTCCATTCACATGAGGATTCACTTTCAATTCTCTTTATATACAGAAGATCAGTTTAGCATACATTAAGTAAAGATTTCAACAGTTTGTTTTTCTACCAGAAAAAAAAGTCTCCTATATTCTGGAGGTGTGTGAGGAAATAAACTAATTTTAAAGTTGCCAAAATGTGAGAATTTCCTGTTCAAACCTTAAGTGACACATTGATGAGAAATCTACTTTTTCCACTCTTGACTCACTCTGAGTCTTTACAAAACAGTCTGTGAAGATCAGAGACATTGTTCTTGTCTGGGATTTATGTCTTTAAATTTCACCTTTGGTTACTCAGCTATGCAGGTCTCCTTAGGAGAGTAACCAGGCTGCCCTACTAATGGAGGCACGACTTTCTGGCAACAGAAGGTATGTGGCGCTACTAATCTGTCTCTCTACTAGCTCACCATAGTGAATGGAAGATTACAAAAGCTAGATATAATGCAGCCAAAGTACAATTAATTATATAATAAAATAAAAGCAGAACACTGATGTCTTTATTCGCTTATTCAGAGTAAAAACTTATAATGCAAAGTATGCTGGAGAATTTCTTAAAATATTCAAATCATTGCCTATGGGGAATTAGTCAAGTACACACATACATATTTGGGTTTGTTAATTAATGTATTTTAAAATGAAATACATTTGACTCATGACAATGTGTAATGAATTTTGAAGTTGAAATCAGTATATCATGCCTTTGAATAATCTTAATTAATATTTAGCCCAGTAATTATAAATAAACTCATAAGGAATTTCATTGTATGGTAAAGACCATATGATTCTCAGACACCTGCTTAGATTAAACAAAAGCAATTTTTTCTTTAATAAAAAGCAGAATGAGATGGTTTATAGTGCTAAATTTAACTCAACAATAAAAAACTTTTTATAAATTCATCGGGATATTCAAAAGTAGATATACTACACTGATTATAAAAGAGCTTTCTCTAATGATTTCTTTCAATGGTCTGATAGAAACATTAATATAGCATTTTGGTTAATAAAATAATTTAAAATAATTAACATTTATTAAGAGCTTTAAGTATCAGCATGAGTGATTTTTAAATTTATTATATTCTATAAATACTCAGTGGTTTTGGATGAATAAACTAGATTATTAGACACTAAGTTACTTTTTAAAGATCACATATTGTAAGTTTCAAAGCTGGAACTAACTCTAGATCTCACTGACTCCAGGGCCCATCAACTGAATTATTAAATTGTATTATCTGAATTACTATAAATACACAACTAAAATAACCCTCACTGATTTTGACAACTATAAAATATTTCAGGATGTTTCAACCTACAGTTTTCTTCAATAAATGGTCTACATTTCTATTTATCAATTTGTTATTTCATATTTTAGCCATTAAGTCAAGTGTCGATTACTTTTGTTATATTTATTTTTTGTAATGTTTCCAATATTGTTTAGGATATGCATCAGTTAATTCTATTACATAAAATTTTCTAAAATATAAAATATTCTTAAATTTTTAACTTCTCAGAACACCTCAATTGTTCAAAATAAAAGACAATTTAATAATGCCTAAGCCATGTAGTAGATAAATAATAAAGTACTAATAAATATAATATAATGTAATGCAAGAAATCAATATGTATGTCCACCATTGTAGTCTTCATGTTTAGAATACTTAGTCTTTAACCATTATTGGATTTAAAAATTATTATAAAATTGATTCATATTTTTCCATTACAAAATTATTATTTTAATACAAATATTCTAATGATGGTAAAATTTCTGTACAATCTTGACCTTATTCATGATCATCTTTATTTTTTCCTAATTTGTTTGTTATAGACCCAACAATTATACCTTGATAAAAAATTTTTGAGGCTGGCATTGTGGTGTAGTGTAGTAGGCTAAGCCTCCGCCTGCAGTGCATGAGGCGCCAATATCCCATATGGCTGCCAGTTCATGTTCCTGCTGCTTCTTTTCAGTCCAGCTCTCTGCTATGGCCTGGGAAGGCAGTGGAAGATGGCCCAAGTACTTGGGCCCCTGAGCCCATGTGGCAGACCCAGAAGAAACTCTTTGCTCCAGGCTTTGGATCACCCCTGCTTCAGTTGTTGCAGCCATTTGGGGAGTGAACCAACTGATTGAAAACTTTTCTTTCTGTCTGTCTATCTCTCTCTGTACTCTGCCTCTCAAATAAATAAATAAATCTTTTTTAAAAAAAGAATTTTTAAAAATATATATTTTGATGTAAGACACGTGTTCAGTGCTCTAAGGAAACTCTTAGTTCCCCAGTCACAAAATAAGCACCAATTCTCACGCTCCGCCCTGCCCATTCTTTGCTGTACCAGGGATCTTCTCATCACATGCACCATTTATTAGCCTCTTCAGTAGAATTATCAGAGCACAGTGCCAGACGTCATTCAGCTCAGAGATGAATAACCAAAGAGTAGTCTACTCGGAGTTGAATCTGACCAAGGGCCCAAAGAAGCAGCAAAGGAGACCAAAGGGCACTAAAATCTCCATTTCAGACACTGAAGAGGAAATAACCTATGTGGAATTAAACCTTCAAAACGTTTCTCAAGAACGTCAAGGGAATGACAAGAATGGCCATTGCAAAGGTAACATTTAACTGCTCCTCTATATATCTAGCTGGTCTGGAACGTGCAGTTGGGTTGCAGAGATGTGGGGAAAGAGTGGGGAATTCATGACATGAAAAATGATGTTTTGGCCGGCGCCGTGGCTCAATAGGCTAATCCTCAGCCTTGCGGCACTGGCACACCGGGTTCTAGTCCCAGTCGGGGCGCAGGATTCTGTCCCGGTTGCCCCTCTTCCAGGCCAGCTCTCTGCTGTGGCCCAGGAGTGCAGTGGAGGATGGCCCAAGTCCTTGGGCCCTGCACCCCATGGGAGACCAGGAGAAGCACCTGGCTCCGGGCTTCGGATCAGCACGATGCGCTGGCCGCGGCGGCCATTGGAGGGTGAACCAATGGCAAAAGGAAGACCTTTCTCTCTGTCTCTCTCTCTCACTGTCCACTCTGCCTGTCAAAAATAATAATAAAAAAAAGTGATGTTTTTTGTTTGTGAGGATCAGAACAGGATGTTGGGTAAGTTATTCTAATATGAAATCTGAAGACGAATTTTATTCAGATTTTGTCCAATTTTAGCCTAGAACTCATGGAGCACTCTGTTTACTGAAAACATAGTGGTATATTCCAGAGACCGATTACAATAGTACATGTGGATTTGTAGTGCAAATTCATCTGCATCATTCCTGGCACAGGTGCATTCTCTTGTATGTCATTCTTCTGTCTCCATCTTCCTATCTGAGCGTTTCCATTTCTCTCCCTGTAGATTCAACTCTCCCTCCAGAGAAGATCATTTCTGGGATCCTGGGAGTCATCTGCTTTGTCTTAATGGTCACTGTGGTGGTAACAATGACAATTGCTATTCCCTGTATGTATGTATATTTTTGAAACATTAGAAAGAAACTTTCCACTTTGATGATTGAAAGTGACCCTGTACAATAATATCAGGGGCAGAGTTTTCATTTTGATTTGCAAGGATAGTTCAAAAATTTCTTGGGAAAATAGAATTAAATATAAGTTTATTAGAGTTCCAAGCATTTGGAAATCCATTGACAGTTTTTTTTTGTAATATAGATATTCCATAAAGTTTTTGAAGACCCCTTGTATATATTTTTACTAAATGTGGATGGTTATTATGCATTTGTCAAAAGTATTGTGGAAATAACTTTTAAATATATGTGTATACATATATATTTTACATATACATATATATATATATATTGGTGAGTGAAAACCCTTACTGAGAAATACAAATGAACTGTGCAAGTAGTCATAATCAAATGTTGAAATGAAGAAATCACAACATTTGCTCCTTTCTAGGCTTTTGAAATGATCCTCCCACAAGCCTTCATTACTTTATCAATTTCTCTTAGAAAAACAATTTTATTCTAATTCTCAACAACATACCAAATTTTGATCTAAGGAGCTCAAATTACTATGACTTACTTACATATTAATTTTACATTAATTACTTCCTCTAGCTACTGCAATACAGGAACAGAACAATTCTTCTCATATAAGAAGAACCCAGAAAGGTATTTGATTATTTTCAAAGTTCTGGTATTTGTAGAGATTCTGCTTGTAATAAAGCCATGCAAAATTTGGTTAGTTTAGATAAATAAAATTAAACTAAAAAATGTGCACCAAATATTCATAAACACAGATAGGGCATTTCTGTTTGTCCCACAACATGTAGAAATAATAATTTAAAAGCACTGTGCAGTCTTTTTGTCAGCTCAAATTTCCTAATTCAATAATATAATAAGAGATAAGTTTACTATTCTAAGAAAGTGGGTTGTTCACTGACTTTCAGAACATGCATATACTGGATGCTTTTGGTTTCATTGTTTGTTTGCTAGATATTGGCAGATAAATTGGGGGCTAAGAAGCTGACTCTTTTCTGTGCTTCTGTGTATGAGTGTTTCTGCTTTGTTTCCAATGTGTAAGCCTGTGGGATGCACAGATATGTTACGTATGTATGTATTTATACCTATGTAAATTCATTTTAACTATTCAAAAATTCATGTTGTTTCTGGATAGTAATCCCCAATCTTTCTTCAGCATTGCATTGTCATCATTGTCCAAAGGAGTGGTTAATATATTCCAACAGTTGTTATTATACTAGCATGGAAAAAAAAACTTGGAATGACAGTGTGATGGCCTGTGCTTCTAAGAACTCAAATCTGCTCTATATAGATCATGAGGAAGAAGTGGTAAGATTCTAAATGTTTCATGCATTTTTTAAAGATTTAATTATTTATTTGAAAATCATAGTTACACAGTGAGAGGAGAGGCAGAGAGAGAAATAAAAAGGTCTTCCATCTGCTGGTTCACTCCCCAGATGGCAGCTGGGAGCTGCGCCGATCCAAAGCCAGGAGCCAGGAGCTTCTTCCAGGTCTCCTATGTAGGTGCAGGGGCCCAAGGACTTGGACCATCTTCTACTATTTTCCCAGGCCATAGCAGAAAGCTGGATCGGAAGTCCAGCAGCCGGGTCTCGAACCGGCGCCCATATGGGATGCCGGCACTGCAAGCGGCGGCTTTACCAGCTACTCCACAGAGCTGGCCCCTTTTTCATGCATTTTTAAAAGCTATTTCATACAACATAATATTTGAATAATTCATTCACGTTCCTGTGCATATTTTAGCTTATTTTCAAGTCTACATGATATTATATTGTTTCTTGGCTTTACAACATCGTATTTGTGTTTGTATACTGCCAATGTACATTTAAGTATTTCCAGTTTTTGCTTTTCTTGGAATGCTGTGCTAATGCATATACTTTTCTCAAGATAATTTTGCTTTTTGATTTTATCATATCTAAAGAAAACTAAGCATTTCATGATTATGCATATTGATCACAAAGTGAATAGACTGATGTTACCACAGGTCAGATCACTATGTAGAAGTTTGCAGCCAGTAGCAACCCTGTCCCTGTGTACATTCTCATGGCTCCCCTCCTTAATCCATTATCCTTACCTTTAATACTACATTGCCTTGGTGAACTTTGTATCAATGAAATGTTGCAGCATGTATGTCAATTCAGTTTCACCTAATATTTGGAAAATTCATCCATATTATTTCATTTACCTATTTTGCTAATTTTCTCTGCTGCGTTGTGTAAATACAACACTTTCGAATCCATTCTATCTGGATTCCCTGGATGTAAAAACTGGGTCTCATGTTGTCAGGGACAATTTTTGGGTAGAGCACTTGTCATTGTGGAATTCCCTTTGCTGACCCTCCATACCTCCCATGCCCTGTGTCTCTTGGTGGGAGCGAGAGGCATGTGCTTGTACTCAGCAGGTCTCTTGATAAACCACCCTCGCCAGTGGTTCCAGCCTTGCCTGTGTCACTGGCAGGATTCCCTCCCAAAACACAAGGGGTATGAGCTTTCGTGAGTCCCCTCTTATTGCTAGAATGGGTGCTGGGAAACTTCAAAATCTCTTCTGTTGGGTGGGGACATCTGATGCCCCAACATTCTGTTGCTCCCTAATCCAGGGGCCAACCCACTTTGCCTTTTGCTTTACACTTTTCAGGATTTCCGTGGCTGTCTTTCATCAGTTCCAGAGTTTATAAATGTGTTCATGAGAGAGAAACATGTTTATGCCACGCTGAACCATTCATATTCCACCACCACCAACATCAATAACAAAATACAGGAAACAGTGCGGGCTGTTCAAGAATGATGTGGTGCCCAGGAAACCACATTTTTTGCTTTTATGTCACTTATTTCTTGAATTCTTAATTTCTTTTCAAAACCCAGACTCTTAAGAAAGATAATAAAAAAAAACCATTGATTTGGTCACAGTAACTGGAGAAATGAATGTTTAAGATCTGGAAACATCTCTAAGTCCATGTTATCTCTCTTTTGTTAACATGGGTAACTATTAAGTTACACAAATCAAATATTTCTTATTAAGATACAGAAAAGAGTGAAATTGAAACCGTAAATATTTGAGTTATTTTTAACTTAAAATTACAAATATTTGTGGAAAATATTGGCAATGAAAAAGTGGTTTTTGATCATTTTATAGTCTATTCATTTTATTTTGAACATTAAAGATCCTATGGAAGAATTAACTACCTGCATTTTTTAAAGAATAATAAAAGTTTACAAGTGATTATTTAAATGAAATTCTTTTTTTCTGATAGAAATTTCTAAGTTCCCACTCATTTCTATCATGGATTGGAGTCTTTCGTAAGCACTCTCATGATTCATGGATATCAGTAAATGGCTCAACTTTCAAACTAAAGTAAGTGGTTTTGGATGCTGACATATAATTGAAGAAAAATATAAAAATGGAAAACTAAGGAGAATACCACTCATAAGTGTAAGTTGAATTTTACACATGGAGAAAAATAGTGGAAATCAGTGAAGGAGGCAGGCATGGCTCAATGAGTTAACCCACTGCTTGGGACACCCACATCCCCCATCAGAGTGCCTGGTTTGAGTCCCGTCTTCTCTGCACCTGACCCAGATTCCTGATAATGCTCTCTGGGAAGTGGAAGATCTTGGTTCAAGTGCTTGGGTCCCTGGCTCCCATGTGAGAGGCCCAGAGGGAGTTTCAGGCTCCTGGGCATTCAGAAAGTGAACCAGCAGATGGGAGATCTCTCTCTCCCTCTCTCTCTCCCTCCCTCTCTCTCTCTCTCTCTGTCTCTCTCTCTCTCCCTCTCTCTCTTCTTTTCTTCCTGTCTCTCTTTTCTGTCTGTGTCTTTCAAGGTGAAAATAGATAAATAAAAAGTAAGTTAGTGAAATGCTGATATGAATATAAGAAGAGTCTGCTCATTTTTCATAATAACTAAATGCCCTAGTAGTATATAAAAATGTCATTATTCACTTTCATGATTTCTTATTTTACAATTACATGAGAAATGCTTCTGTTTCATAGATTGTCCCTATAAAATAAAACTGAATTAAGCATTTTTAACCCTTGCAGAATAAAAGAACTGTCATATGGTGAACATAACTGTGCTATGTTATCCTTATCTGGCCTTCAATCAGACAGTTGCAAATCTTTAAAAACATATAACTGTAAGCATAAGCTCTAGAAGTAACACACTGGAATTTGGAGTCTGCCAGGTAATTTCATATTTCATGAAATGGAAATAATATTATGATTGAAAAGTCTTAAAGTGAATTATACAGTACTAACAATGAAATTTCTTGGAACAGTCATTAAAGTACAATATTCTCACCAAAAATTCATGTTTTTTGTGTCTGACTCAACATTATATTTGAGTCATTCAGGTTTTCTAAAAGATCATTGAATCCATTTATGTGAAATACCAAGAATAGGCAAACACATGGAGAGTGGATTAGGGGTTGCTGAGGGCCAAGGAGACAGCGGACTAGAACCTGCCCATTAGTCAACACAGTGCTTCTTTTAGAGATGTTAAAAACTCTCTGAATTTGAACAGTCCTGTTAATAGTTTTCATTCTGTGACCATATCAAAAATCATGGATTTATATTATATGGATTTTATTCTATATTACATTATACTTCAGCACAGCTGTTTTTTTAAAAAAAAAACTTCCATGGTATTATGCTTGGCATTTCATTTAATCTTAATTTTTCAAGTAATTTTTATTTAAAGTCTAGTCATCAGATGAATGAATAAAGAAATGTGATATGTATAAACAAATATACACAATGGAATATTATGCAGCTAAATGAAAGTCTATCATTTGCAGTAAAAGGATTGTAACTAAAACATCATGTTGAATGAAATGAGCCATACACAGAAAGATAAATATTGTATGTTCTCCCTTATATGTGGGAGATAAAAAAATTTTTAAGAGAAATGCCCATGGATATTAGTTTTGCTGAAAATAAGTGTTTTGTCAAACTTTGCTTTAAATATTTGTTCTAAAATTGATAGGAATTATATACTACTATAGTATTAATGATTTCATGACTATTTTAAAATTTACTTTACAGGGGTGAAAAGTCCTTATCTGTTTTTCTGCTGGACCAATGTATTTTTATTGGTTAAACTCTTTGTTTAGTAGAGCCATTAAGCATTTGACTATAATGTAAATTAAAAACATATTATCTCAAAAATATAATAAATAAAATATTAAGTTTTTTAAGAGTCTAGTCATATTGACAATATTGATATATATTACACCAATAGCATGCTATGTCCTTCAACTTTTGGGTTTTCTTTTTTTTTTTTTTTTCGGACAGGCCAGAGTGAACAGTGAGAGAGAGAGAAAGGTCTTCCTTTTTCTTTCTTTCTCGGACAGGCAGAGTGGACAGTGAGAGAGAGAGACAGAGAGAAAGGTCTTCCTTTGCCGTTGGTTCACCCTCCAATGGCCGCCGCGGCCAGCGCGCTGCGGCCGGCGCACCGCACTGATCCGATGGCAGGAGCCAGGAGCCAGGTGCTTTTCCTGGTCTCCCATGGGGTGCAGGGCCCAAGCACCTGGGCCATCCTCCACTGCACTCCCTGGCCACAGCAGAGAGCTGGCCTGGAAGAGGGGCAACCGGGACAGAATCCGGCGCCCCGACCGGGACTAGAACCCGGTGTGCTGGCGCCGCTAGGCGGAGGATTAGCCTAGTGAGCCGCGGCGCTGGCCCAGGTCTTCCTTTTTGCCGTTGGTTCACCCTCCAATGGCTGCCATGGCCGGCGCACCGCGCTGATCCGATGGCAGGAGCCAGGTACTTATCCTGGTCTCCCATGGGGTGCAGGGCCCAAGCACTTGGGCCATCCTCCACTGCACTCCCTGGCCACAGCAGAGAGCTGGCCTGGAAGAGGGGCAACCAGGACAGAATCAGGCGCCCCGACCGGGACTAGAACCCGGTGTGCCGGCGCCGCAAGACGGAGGATTAGCCTAGTGAGCCGCGGCACCGGCCCAACTATTGGGTTTTCTTTAATTTCTACTATATTTTATTTTTTTGTGACATTTTATGGAAGTATAGATATTTTACCTTCATGCCTTGTAAATAGCATCCTTATTTGAAGTTTTTCTTTGTAATGTTTGTTGTTGTAAGGAGAAATATTATCAAGGATTGCATGTTGATCTCATCTGGATTATTCTTGATTTTCCTCAATAAGTTGTTATTTTATCTATAAGTAATCACAAATCTATTTTTCTCATTTGTCAGAGACAGACAGAGAGAGGGAGAGAGAGAGAGAGACCTTGTGAAAGAGAAAGTTCCCTTGTGAACTCCCCAAGTGTCCGCAGCAGCTGAGGCTGCGCCAGTCTGAAGGCAGGATCCAGGAGCTAATCAGGATCTCTCAAGTGGATGGCAGGAAATGAAATACTTGTGCCGTTACCTGCTGCCTCAGGGTGCACATTGCAGGGAGCTGGAACTGAAAGAGGAGCCTGGCCTCCAGCCCAGGCTCTCCAATGGCAGACTGGCATCCCACGCAATGTCTCGAAATATGAAGAATAGTTATATTTTAAAAATCATTGTTCACTGTCTTAAAAAGACACTCTTTATCATGAACACAAAGAAAGATTAAAGTACAACTAAGAAAAATAGACTATAGAATACAATATACTATACAACACAAACCAATAGAAAGTTAATATATTGTCATAAATAAAGCAAAAGCAGTTACTGAGAGGAATAATGATGTGGATGACAGGGGCCAGGCATTTGGACTGTCATTTGGTGCCTTCCCAGGTTCATTAGCAGAAAGCTGGATTGAAAGCAGAGTAACCTGGCCTCAAAGCAGCCTTCTGATGGGTGATGCCAATGTCACAAGCAGAGGCTCAACCCACTACACCACAACACAGGACCCTCCATTTAAAAAATTATTGGAAATTAATTTATTTTGCAATCATTTTTAAAATAATTTTTATTTATTATTGATCTCCAATTTACCCATTTCTCTTAGGATATTTCGAACTGCCATGATTAGAAATAATCACAATAATATGCATTTTGGTTCTTTTTCTCTCTCCATACACACACGTTTATATATGAGTGTATTTCAAAAATCAGGAAAAGGATAAGCATCTTTCAATATAATCTGTCCACAACTTTTTAGAGTACCCTTGTACATGTACGTATAGATGTCTATATTTGTGCATTTTCATGATTTAAGAATAAACTCTACTTCAACAAAATGGATGCAATTGAAAACCATTATGCTTAGTGAAATAAGCCAGTCCCAAAAAGACAAATATCATAACATATATTTTCTTTTAAATGAAGTAGTTAGCATAGAACACAAAAAAATATAGGAATGAAATGGACATACTGTGATATAGTTGTTGTGTTTAGTCCTTGTTTATACTGTTGTTGAATATTATGGTTAGTGGTTCATTAAACCTCTGTTTATAGAGTGGACTAAAAAAAATTAAAAATATAAAAAAACTCTAGCTACTGTTATTAATTTTGTTCTGCCTGTATATTTTTATCTTTTTTGTACCCTAGCTTTCAATGAAGTTACATATCAAAAAATTTAAAATTCCATAATATCATATATAATAAAAAGCTGGCATGTGACATTGTTTAAATGAAAGTAACAAGTGAATATTATAGGAATAGTGGACAGAGCTACTTCAAATGTAAAAAAAAAAATTAGTGAATGTTACATTATTTGACATCTTTAATGAATTACATTATTCTTCTATTTATATGTGAGAAAAGATCATTATTTAGTTTATAAAACATTGATATATAAATAGAAATAAATTTAATTCTAACAATTAGAAATATGAGTACATATTTCATGCACATACTATGTACATGATTATTTATTTATAAAAATTTAATGAAATGTAATTAATAGAAATATGTACACAACTAGCCAACATTAGCCATTGTGATGGAATGCTCAATCATAGCCCAGATTCCAGGGCTACACTATGGATTTAAATTCCATTCTTCTAGAATTTAGAAAGCTATAGATTTGTGTTTGCCTGTACTCAATCTCCTAGTGGTAGCATGGAAGTCAGTATCCTTTGGACTGACAGATTAAAAACATTCCTTCTTCTTTCATTTCATTTATTTTTTATTTTTAGTAATAATTTAATATATTTATGAGAACATTTAAAATATTCCATTTGAAACTAACCACATAATTTAAATTTTTGTTTCCCTTGATGTACATATGTCATTTTTTTAAAAATATCTATCTCTTAAAAATTTTGTATCAGGGCCAGCGTTGCAGCATAGCCAGTAAAGCTTCTGCCTGCAGCACCAGCATCCCATATGTGAACCAGTTTGATTCCCAGATGCTACACTTCCAATGAAACTCCCTGCTAATGTGCCTGGGAAAGCAGCAGAGGATGACCCAGTGCTTGGGCCCCTGCACCCATGTAGGAGAAATGGAAGAAGCTCCTAGCTCCTGGCTTCAAACGTCAAACCAGTCTGGCTCTAGTCTTTGTGGCCATTTGGGGAGTAAACCAGTGGATGGAAAATTGATCAATCGATCTCTCTCTCTCCCTCCCTCCCTTCTTCCCTCCCTCCCTCCATGTCTCTCCCTCTGTGTGTGTGTAACTCTTCATTTCAAATAAATAAATAAAATCTTTTTAAAAAAAATGTGTATTTATTTGAAAGGTAGAAAAACAGAGGGGGAGGTATCTTCTGTTTGCTGATTCACTCCCCAAATGCCCACAACATCCAGGACTGGGTCAGGCCAAAGCGTGAGCTTCCTCTGAAGGTGTGCACTAGCAAGATGATGGAATTAGGATTGAAGCCAGGAATGGACGCGCTCCAGTATGGAGTATTGGCGTCACAAGGCAATCTAAGTGCTAGAACAAATGCCTACCCATTGTGTGTCATTTAACTTGTGCTCTGAAAATCTACTCTTTCTATCTTTTCCACTTTGGGGCTATGCAACTTTTTCTATATTATTTTCTTTACCCACCTACATAGTTTGCCTTGGGATTTTGTCATTTACAACAAAATTCTTCAACAAATAATTGGAGGACAAATTTATGAACAACGTGAATCATTATTTAAAATTTAAGTCTCTGGCATGGTGACAGTGTATTACTTACAATGAATAAAATAAAATTCAGGAATTTGAAGAATTAAGGTAGAAATTTTAAAAAGATAATTTTGGAAATTGATTCAAGTTACACTAAAGTTACAATAAATGTAGTAACTCCCCATAATAATTAGTGATAAATATCATTAAATACATATCAACAACAGTATTATTATTTTATTCTTTTCCTCATCCTAATAGCAATGCTATAGTAAGTGTATAAGGAAAGAAAGTGTATAAGGAAAAGAAGTGTGTAAAACAAGATTTAACAATGTTGTATAAAAGTAAAACTTAGCCATATTAAAATACTCCCCATAGGGCTGAATTGTGGGTGTCCATTAATGAAATTAAAATAATTTAACTGCATGGGTGATCAAGCATTTGCCCTCCCCCTCCCCATAACTTGTGAAAAATGGAGCAATTCCTCCAAAACACTGGAAAATGGACAAACTAAAGGAAACCCCAGGAACAAAGTCTCCTATGCTCTGGAGATGCATGAGAAAAATTGATTTAATGCAATTTTCGTCCCCAAGTGTGAGATTTCCCTATTCAAACCTGAAGTGATGGGTGTGGGGAGCAACTGGGACTAGACTGTTACTCGAATTAAGACTTATTTTATGCATCTGCTCTCCCACAATATGGCGCTGGGAGAGGAGGAAACAGCTTCTACACAGCTGCTTCCAGTTCAACCAATAAACAGCAGGACCTGCTCCTGATTGGAGGAGAGCAGCGTATTCGGCGTGTGGGTAGCAGAGTTGGGATTGGTGGAAGAGGACTATAAAGGAGGAGAGAGACAACATGCACCAAGGAACATCTATCTGAAGGAACACCTGTGCAGCCCCCGAGAGAGCCGGCCGGCGGTGTGCCGCTCCCCTGCAGAAGTGGGGAAAGTGGCAGGGGGAACCGCTCTTCCACGGAGGTGGAAGGGACGGTAGCCAACCCGGGAAGAACCAGCAGCAAACCCGGGGAGGGCCGAGCAGACGAAAGAACAACGCAGGGTCCTGTGTCGTTCCTCCGCGAAGAGGGGGAGCGACATAATGGTGCCGTGACTCGGATATGAAGCCTAGGCAGGGTTTAGTGTTGCTCCTCCACGAAGAGGGGGAGCGACAATGGGTGAGTAATCTGCTCATTCCTCTCTTGACACTCTGCGCAGGGAAGTATGTGGAGCCCACAGACTGCACTGATCTGTGCGTGAGGGTAATCTGGCCTCCCTCCCTACTAAGGGGTGCCACACTCTGGGCTCTACACCTGCCCACCTGACTCGGGGAAGGGCTGCACACACTCGACATGATGCAGTGAAAGTGCAATAACTATGTAGGAAAATCAAAACAGAACACTGCAGCCTTGATTTAAACAAGTCAAGGAAAAAGCAAATCTTCATTCTTGAAATACCAAAGTTATTGACAATGGAAAAGTAGTCTTCTCACACAAGATATTTGGATTTCATAATCAATATAATTTAAAATTAAATCCCATGAGCATCATGACAATGAACATAAAATTCTTATTACAAAATAATATTGTATATTTGGCCTCATCTATAGAAATAAAAAAATAGAAATAGATTTTTTAAATGAACCCATCAAATCATGAAGGTCAAAGAATCTCTCTTGTATAGTTTGATTAAATAAACAAAAAAAGCTGATTTTAGTAAAAAAAAAAAAAAAGATGAGTTGGCTTCCTTAAAATGCTAATCCAAGTTTATAAAACAAAGGCTTAAAAATTTGAACACAATGCAGTAAAAGTAGATATGCTGCACTGGCGTAAGAGATGTCTGTCTAGTAATTTCTTTTACATAATCTAAGTAATATGAACCAGAAATAATACAACAATTATGTTAAACTGATTAAAGTAACTAATATTTATTGAAAGATTTAAAATGCCAGATAAAGTGGTGTTTTACATGCTCTATATTTCATAAATTCTCATCCCCTTTCCAGATCAGTGAATGAGGTTAGACACTAAGTAAATTCTCAAAGTCCACACATAAATCTCAAAGCGAGAGCAAATCTAGATCTCACTGAATCCAGAAACTATTGATTGAATTATTAAATTAAGTTGTCTGAATTCTTAGAATCAATGTCACTTAAGCAAACCCTCACTGAATTGTACAGCCATAGAGATTTTCTGGTAGTTCAAGCAGTCTTTTTGATAAAAGTGAACACATTAATTTATTATTCTCTGTTTGCATATTTGAGCCATTAAGTCAATTATCAATGACTTTGATAAGCAGTTTTAAATTTTTTTGTTTAATTTATATATAAGTTTAGTGGGTCTTCTACCAGTTTCTGACATATAACATATGCATTACTTTCCCAGAATTTTTTATGCATTCAAAATAGAAGGTCATTTGATAGCATCTCAACCCCTTCTAACAAATAAATGTAAGTCACTAAAGAAAAGTACTTTGGTGCAATAAATTACCATGTACTAATGTTACTATTCCCCTACTTTGGAGCATTCAATCTTTAACCATTGTTGGATTTCAAAAGTATCATAAAAATCCCTACATCATTTTTCAATAATTGCATTAATTTCTAATGTAGATATTATGCTATAGTTAAAATATTTTGTGGGATATTCCTCTCATTTAATAAAGGTATTTTTATTCATGACCATTATTCTTGTCTCTGTCTCATTTTTTGCTTTTCATTTACCAACTGATACTATTTTATCAAATGTAGGATATTTTATTTAAATTGCTTATTTCACCATGAATCATTATTACAGCTCTAATAATATTAGAAATGGATAGATGTTTAGAATCTTTAATGTCAGGTAAGCAGTATTATCACACACACCAGAATGGCTACACTGGGGGTCCTCTTGTTGTATAAACCATTTCTGAACTTCTCAAGAAGTTATTCCACAGCACAGGCCTTGACATCATTCCTCTGCAGAGGTGAGTAATCAGAGTAACCTACTCAGAAAGAATCAAGTCAGGGTCCCAAACAAGCACAAAAAGAAACCTCAGGGCCCCAAAGCTCCATTTCAGCAACTAAACTGGAAAGAATCTATGTGGAATTAAACTCTCAAAATGTTTCTCAGGAACTTCAATTTTATTTATTTTTATATTTTTTTCATTTAAGGTACACAAGCTTCATGCATTTCATAAATAAAAATTTAGAAACATAGTGACTTTTCCCACCCTACCCAATTTTTAGATGATAGCAACTTAACAAATTTTATACAAAAACCTCTATTTCTTTTCATGTCCACCACCTCCACTTTATGTTATTGATGTCAAAGGTAAATCTTCTCATTGTATAAATACATTAACAGAATTTTGTTTCTGTTTTAGTTTTTTAAGATTTACTTACTTACTTGAAAGTCAGAGTTACACAGAGAAAAGGAGAGGCAAAGAGAGAAAGAGGTCTTCCATCCAATGGTTCACTGCCCAATTGGCCGCAACAGCCGAAGCTGTGCCAACCTGAAGCCAGGAGCCTGGAGCTTCTTCTGGTCTCCCACGTGGGTGCAGGGGCCCAAGGACTTGGGTCATCTTCTACTGCTTTCCCAGGCCATAGCAGAGAGCTGCATCAGAAGTGGATCAGCTGTGACTTGAACCGGCGCACATATGGGATGCTGGCAGTGCAGGTGGCAGCTTTACCTACTACACCACAGAGCCGGCCCCAACAGAGTTTTTTTTAATATTTGCCTTTTAAATTCTATATTAGAGACTGGCGCCGCGGCTCACTAGGCTAATCCTCCTTCTGCGGTGCCGGCACCCCGGGTTCTAGTCCTGGTAGGGGCGCCAGTTCTGTCCCAGTTGCACCTCTTCCAGTCCAGCTCTCTGCTGTGGCCCGGGAAGGCAGTGGAGGATGGCCCAAGTGCCTGGGCCCTGCACCTGCATGAGAGACCAGGAGGAAGCACCTGGCTGCTGGCTTCAGATCGGCGCAGCCCACCAACAGTGGCGGCCATTTGGGAGGTGAACCAACGGAAAAGGAAGACCTTTCTCTCTGTCTCTCTCTTTCACTGTCTAACTTTGCCTGTCAAAAAAATATTCTATATAAGAATTAAAAGTAACTTATATAACATTACAATATTTTATATTGATATATATTTTTATTTGAGATTTATACATTCATATTCTTTTATGTGGTTGTTTAGTGTCCTTTTGTTCCACGTTAAAGAAATCTTTTTTAGTATTTCTTGTATGGTAATTTCAGTGGTGACAAATTTTTTTAGTCTCTGTTTATCCGGGTGCAGCTTTGACCTGCAAAGCCACACTGTTGAGAAAAGCAAGGTAGCAATGTCCTTTTCCCACAAAAAGAAACCGGGGACAGGCTTCGATGAACATGTCTGGGTTTATTAACAGTAACGTAGGCTTTTAAAGAGCAGGTAGAAGGGGGCGTAACTAACTCAGGGGAACACTGACAGAACCAGTACTGGTGCCAATATACCTCTCAAATTAGCTTGAAGGTCAGGTGCTTCCCAGGTGAACTTAATGAGCTTAGGCCACACCCAGGAGCAGTTTACCTGATTGGCAAAAGGTGGGGGTGGGGAAAAATGTACCTGGGGCTCCCACTGCCTGCCAGCAGTGAGGCTGTTTGGGCTAGGGCTAGGTAGGCAGCATCACACAATTGCCCACATCTGGGAAAGTCTTAATTTCATCTTCATTTTCATCAACATGTTTGCCAGATGCAGTATTCTTAGTTGATTTACTTTTCTTTCAGCACTTTTAATATATCACCCCAATCCTTACTTGTCTGTATGGTTTCTGCTGAAACATCCAGTAATAATCTTATGGGAGCTCCCACATGCATAATGGGTCATTTTCCTTTGAAATTGCTAACTTTGCTAGTTAGGAAATAATGCTCCATTGTGAATCTCTTTGGATTTTATTTTTGGGTCCTGTATTGCTTTCCTGCTTTTGTTTAGTTGTCTATTTAATTGTTCTCTTTCATTTAAGATTATTACCTATGTTTAACATAATTATTTTAATAGTTTATCAAATAAATAATAGCTCTCCATGTTTCTGTTTCATTTCTTTCATTTTGTTTCTGTCACTGGACCATGTTGTCCTGTTTCTTTGTATGCCTTGCAGTTCTCATTGAGATTTGGTTTTTCGAAAGACCACCTACCTTTCCCACTCATAGGAGACTGACTTTGTACTGGGAATTTCTTCACCATTCATCTCAGCTAGAGACTCTGAACCTTACTGGAAGAGTTGCTTTGTGTGTGTGTAACTTCCCAGTTAAAGAAATTTGCCCCTGTTCATAGAACTCTTACTCTCTTGCTCCCCCTTGTGATTCCCTGAAGTGTTTGCAGTCTCCCCCAGTGCTGTAGTAGCCCAGCATGCTTGCCTTTGTTCTCAGCAGCTCCCAGGCATCTAGCATATGCCACTGTTTACTTTATTGCTCTGAGCCAGGAGCGAAATAAACTGGTCTCCCCCTAAAGTGTCCTCCAAAACGTCCTCTTTGACAGCCCCCCAAAAGTCACCTTTGGCAGATCCCCCACAAAAGTCAGAATGTCAGACACACATCTCACTCTTCTCTTTTCTTTCCAAGTAAGAGGGTTGAAGCTGGGGTTGTCTCCTGATTGCTTATCCCTGCGGCTGACAGAGCAAGGGATTATGGCAGATAAATGCAGCATATTTTCTAGTTCTTGTTTTTTCTTGCTTTTCTTGGTTTTGCACTAACTAAGTATGCAGCCAATCCATAACTGTTGTCTGGAGTTCTAACAAAGGCAATTCAGTTCTTATTTAGTTATGTTGTTTCCTTGGGAGAATGAGGCCCTTGAGCTTCCTATTCTTCTATCAGACTGATGTCATCACCATGCCAATCTGAAATAGTGTCCATGCAGATCTGGATTGTGGGAAAGTAGTGTGGACTAGATACTGCTAGGTTAATTTGCACACAACTCCATCCAGTCTCTTGTAGATATTTGGGAAGTGACAGAGGGTGGAATCTCTCTCTCTCTCTCTCTCTCTCTCTCTTTCTCTTCAGGTAAAATGAAAATAAAAAAATATGTTTCAGGTAAACATATAGTTTACTTCTACTCCAGGCTACATTGTTTAAGTTTGTGTTTTCTTTTATCTCCTGTAAGAATCAAATCCATTGTCTTGCTTAAAGTCCTCAAAAGATTTTGTTGGCTACTTGGTGCGACTCAAACACCATAGCTTACATTATGAATATTTCCCATCCTCATTCACTCCCAGTTATTATGGTTCCAGGCTATTCGAGGCTCCATCCTTAATTCCAGCTATTCATAGCACCACTTAATAAAACAATGGCAGACTGGTATTCATTTTATTGTCTCTTGATTCTATGTTTGACATTTTATCTTCAATTCTTTGCATGTTTCAGCAACATTCAGATTTGCAGCTAACATTTTTTTAGAAAAATATCAGAAGCCACCTAATCCAGGGCACTTTCCCTAAATCCTTTTTCTCATAGTTGAAATTGGCAATCTATTGAGAGACTGTCACTTATGATACTATCTTTAATGACACTCAGTGTTCACATATACCACTACAAATCACATACGCTTGTGTCTATACTTTGAATAAATTGTGAGCAACTAGATTATAAGGGCTGTACTTAACATGTTATTCAATATTTTAGATACATTGCCTAACTATATGCTTGCAACAGAGATTCTTAACAGATACTAGTTCATTACGCAGAAAATGGCCTTAGTGAAAATATCAGCAATTTCTAATTTATTTGATTATTTTTAGAAGGATGTATTTTATTTATTTGAAAGGCAGAGTGACAGAGAGAGAGTGTGAGACAGAGAGAGATTTTGTACCTTCTGGTTCATTCTGCAAATGCCCACAATAGCCAGTGTTCAGTCAGGCAGAAGCCAGGAGCCTGGAACTCCATCCAGGTCTTCCACATGAGTGACAGGGAACAAGTACTTGGCTCATCTTCCATTGCCTTTTCAGGCACATTAGCCAGGAGCTGGATCTGCAGCAGAGCAAGTCTCCAACTGGAATCTCTGGTATGGGATGACGGTGTTACAATCAGAGGCTTAACCTACTGTACCACAATATCAGCACTTATTTAGTTAGTTTTGTTGGGCTTTGATGTTGTTGTAAATTGTATGTTAAATAATGCAGAAAAAAAATAATGAAGTATAAGGAGTCTCCAGGGCCTTCAGCTAAAACTCCAGAAAGAACATTGCAAGTTTTTAGTAGCTATTCTCACAATATCCAAACAGGTGATATAAGACTTGCAGAGTTTAAGCCAAATGAACCAAATGCATTTTTAAATTCCTGTGTACATAAATGAATTTAATGAGGATAAAATAAGAAAAAATAAGTTGATTAAAATTTGATAACCTGCTATTAGACGCATAATAGAAAAAAAAGAGTTGTTTCTTGGCTCCACCCAGATGTGTAAGTAATGAGGTATTTTTATTTGGAAAAATAATCCCTGGATCTGTTTTGCTAGATGCCCGGGAATAGCAATGTCCAAATTATGTGACTTCTTCAAAGGCCTAGGATTCTACAACATTTGAAGCACTGAGGTAAATATAAAATCCATTGGGATACAAGATGCAGGAGTATGGAAAGGTATCATCTCAATCATGAATGTAGAGATAACCATTATGAAACATGTAAGGTTAAATCACAAAAAATAAGAAATAATAAAAATTCTAATAAAAATTTTAAATCATCTGGCCTGAAAGTCATGTGAGTTTTAGAATGTGTCTTTTTGGGCGGACTCCCGGCGGCTGGGGGATGGCGACGGTGCCGGGGGCGCTTTCCAGCCCTACCTAGACTCCTTGCGGCAGGAGCTGCAGCAGAGGGACCCGACGGTGCTGTCAGTAGTGGTGGCGCTTCTCGCGGTGTTGCTGACGCTGGTGTTCTGGAAGCTCGTCCGCAGCAGAAGGAGCAGCCAGAGAGCGGTGCTGCTGCTCGGCCTTTGCGACTCCGGAAAGACGTTGCTGTTCGTCAGGTTGTTAACAGGCCATTACAGAGACACCCAGACGTCCATTACAGATAGCTCTGCCACATACAGAGTCAACAATAATAGGGGCAATAGTCTGACCTTGATTGACCTCCCTGGCCATGAGAGCTTGCGGCTTCAGTTCTTAGAGCGGTTTAAGACTTCAGCCAGGGCTGTTGTGTTTGTCGTGGATAGTGCAGCATTCCAGAGAGAGGTAAAAGATGTGGCTGAGTTTCTGTATCAAGTCCTCATTGACAGCATGAGTCTGAAGAACACACCATCGTTCCTAATAGCCTGCAACAAGCAAGATATTGCAATGGCAAAATCAGCAAAGTTAATTCAGCAACAGCTTGAGAAAGAACTTAACACCTTATGAGTTACCCGTTCTGCTGCACCCAGTACACTGGACAGTTCCAGCACTGCCCCTGCTCAACTGGGAAAGAAAGGCAAAGAATTTGAATTCTCACAGTTGCCCCTCAAAGTGGAGTTCCTGGAGTGTAGTGCCAAGGGTGGGAGAGGGGACCCCGGCTCCGCTGACATCCAGGACCTGGAGAAGTGGCTTGCTAAAATCGCCTGAGTGACAGCTCTGAAGCACTGGTCGGGGTGGGGACCGTGTGAGTGACAGTTGGCTGTGGTAGTCTGGAGTTGATAAAGAAGAGGTATAAAATGTGGCTGGAAACATTTCCTTGTTCTGGACACCAGTTCCCGCTGAAGCCTACCTGGAACTTTTCTTTCTCAAGTTCAGTCCTCCCTATTGCTCCCTTTCAAACAAATGACTTCTGTTTAACTCTCACTGTTGGTAAGGTGTGTGCGACATCCCCTTAGTGAATGCTGGATGCAGGGTCAGTCTCTGTGACATAACAAGCAGGCCACATACAGGAAGGACACTGTCACTAGAGTCAGGGTTATTCCCGAAGACTTATTTGCTGCTTCTGTGCTTTGATCTTGTGCTTTCCCTGGAAGGAACCCTATTTATGATCAGTGGATTTCCACTTGCCCCTCCCGTTCTGGGCAGTGCATCCTCTTGTCTCTTGTTCTCAGATTCATAGGTAGTCTAGTCTGCCCACGTGTGAAGACAGGTACAGAACAGCAGGGCTGGGCTGACAGGATGTTCATCAGCTCGGCGACCTGGCCATACTCCAGCCTCAGCACTCAGGAGCCCTTGGAGTCATTCCCAGGTGACAGAGCCGCAGATGCTAACTCCCCAGCTGCCAAGGGTCAAGTGTGTTCTAGTGTTGTTTGGGGCCGTGTGGAGATGTGAACCCTGTTCTGCTATGGGCTGCCTGCCTGTGCTGCTCCCTCAGCTCCTGTTTTGTACCCATAGCTGGAATGCTGTGGAGCAGGTACAGCATGGGAAAGTTCTCTGCAGGTTTTCCAATTATATATTCACTGATGCTTACCAAAAAAAAGTCTTTCAAAGTGAAAAAAAAAAGAATGTGTCTTTTTGGTATGTTTTTGTCTATTGAAATACATGTGGGCCAGCACCGCGGCTCAATAGGCTAATCCTCCACCTGCGGCGCCAGCACCCTGGATTCTAGTCCCAGTTGGGGCACAGATTCTGTCCCTGTTGCTCCTCTTCCAGTCCAGCTCTCTGCTGTGGCCCGGGAGTGCAGTGGAGGATGGCCCAGGTCCTTGAGCCCTGCACCCGCATGGGAGACCAGGAGAAGCACCTGCCTGGCTTCGGATCAGCGCGGTGCACCGGCCGCAGCAGCCATTGTGGGGTGAACCAACGGTAAAGGAAGACCTTTCTCTCTGTCTCTCTCTCTCTCACTATCCACTCTGCCTGTCAAAAAAAAGAAAAAAGAAATACATGTGACTTACTTGAGAGTAATTTTGAAAAACAATCACTATTTGTGACTACTTATTCACAATGTAAAGATAATACCACAGGTGGGAGGAATACTTCTGTCACATTATACCATGTAGAAAGGGTGTGTTTAAACAAAAAATGAAGTATTTTATCATGTGCAGAATTACTACACTGAAAATACTTTTCATTAAAGAAAAGACACCCTGAGAGATCCAAGATGGCTGAATAGGTAGCTAATCTGACCACTGGAAGATAACAGAAGAAAAATGGAGGAAGTACATTCTCAGGGGAGAGTTGAAGTTTGCAGTAGAAATTCTACAGAAAGATAAATGCCTTGGAGAAGCAAGGACAGCACAAACATGAAGCAGTGAGTAGAGACACCACCAATAACTCTTGTAGCTAAGAGCTGAAGAGGTGCCATCTTGGAGCAAGGTGAAAGAAGTGTGCAGCACCCCATGCCACTGGTAATAATGCCTGAGGGAGAATCTGGGGGACCACACTGACTTTGAGTCTCTCTGGAGCACTCATCGGGGGCAGACTGCCCACCTTACCCTGTGAAGGAAAAGCACATCGCTATCTTCCCATCTCCCCACAAGTTCACCGGATGACCAGCAAGGAGGAAGCACCATCTTAATAAGTCAAGTAGAGGCTACTGCATGAGGAGAGGGAATTTTATTGGGGGGATAACTATGTAGTCCCCAATAATGCTGAGTCTAACCTAGAGACTTGGCAGGGAGTGGGGCACCTACATAAGCCTGGAAAAGGCTCCCCTCTCCTTGCTCCATCGCAGGCTCCTGGACTCAAGTTGCCCAAGTGGAACACCAACAGGCAGCTGGTTTTAGGAATGCCTCTGCTGTCTCCAAGGATGGGGCAATCTTACAGGGCTGAGAGGGGATCCCCTGATCCCTATGACTGTTAGATTCCTGTGCTCTATGACTGAATTTCTGAGATGGCCTGATAGGGCATGGGATGTGGCTGGATCTTTGGGCAGTCGCTGTGTCTGGCTATGGAGGCTCAGAGATCCCTGAAGACTTGAGTCATTGCAGAGGGTTCCGTGCTCACACAGAGGATTATGTGGATCCACTGTGTATTTCATGAACCTGCATTGGTGGGTGTGTAGCCTCTGTGAGCTCACCCAGGACAATGATCACCTTGGCAGAGAGGAGGTGAGGCTGTGATCACCACAGCTAACATGATCATACCCTCCCCATTGTTGACAATAGAGAAGACCTACCATGTCCAACTTGGTGTCATGCTGGACTCTTGCCCTACACTAAAGCACTGACTTGTCACACCCAGCAGAATATGAAAGCTCTCTATAATGAAAATTATAAAACATTAATGAAAGAATTAAAAGAAGGCACAAAAAATGGGAAAATCTTCCATGTTTATGGACTGGAAGTATTAATGTCATCAAGATGTCTGTATTACCAAAAGCAATTTATAGATTCCATGTGATTCCAATCAAGATACCAATGACTTTCTTCTTAAATCTAGAAAAAAAAAATGAAGCTAGAATTCATATAGAAACACAGAAAATTCTGAATAGCTATAGCAATCTTCAACAGCAAAACAAAGCTGGAGACACCACAATACTAGATTTCAAACATAGTACAGGACAGTTATAATCAAAACAGCCCAGTACTGGCACAAAAACAGACATGTAGATAAATGGAACAGAAAAGAAACTCCTGAAATTAATCCACACATCTACAACCAACTAATCTTTGACAAAGGAGCTAAAATCAATCCCTGGAGAAGGGACAGCCTCTTCAACAAACTGTGCTGGGAAGAATGTATCTGTGCAAACAGAAGCATGAAACAAAACTCTTACCTTACATCTTATACAAAATTAAGCTAAAAATAGATCAAGGATCTAACTCTATGGCCTGATACCATAAAATTATCAAGGGAAACATCAAGGAAACTCTGCAAGACATTAGCATAGGTAAAGACTTCTTGGAAAATACCCCAGAAGCACAGGCAACGAAAACAAAAATTGACAAATGGAATTATATCAAGCTAACAAGCTTTTGCACTCAGCAAAATGAAGAGGCAACTGACAGAATGGGAGAAAACAATTGCAAATTATGCAACTGATAAAGGATTAATATCCAGAATCTATAAAGAGCACAAGAAACTCAGCAGCAACAAAACAAATAATCCAGTTAAGAAATGGCAAAGGTCATGAACAGGCATTTTTCAAAGGATGAAATTCAAATGGCCAACAAACACATGAGAAAAAATGCTCAGGATCACTAGCCTCAGGGAAATGTAAATGTAAACCACAATGCAGTTTTGCCTCACCCCATTTAGAATGGCTGTCATCCAAAAACCAGAAAACAATAAATCCTGGCTAGGATGTGGGGAGAAGGTACTCTAATACACTCTTGATAGGAATGTAAACTAGTATAGCCAATATTATGGAAGACAGTATGTAGATTGCTCAGAAATATGAAAATAGGTCTGCCATATAACTTAGCCATGCCACTCCTGGTAATTTACCCAAATAGAATGAAATCAGCATATGAAATGTTGTCTGTACCCCCATGTTCGTTGCAGTTTGATTCACAATAGCTCAGCTATGGAATTAACCAGATGTCCATCAACTGATGACTGGATGAAGAAAATGTGATATATATGTATGTATGTATATACATATATATATATGCACATACACACACACACACACACACACATACTACCTGTGGTATATATACTATATGTGGTATATATACATTCAATGTGATATATATACTACTCAGCCATAAATAAAATTAAATCCTGTCATTTGCAACAAAATGTATGGAACTAGAAACCATTATGCTTAGAGAAATAAGCCAGTCCTAAAAAGACAAATGACATATGTTTTTCTGATATGTGGCATTTAATATAGAATGCAAAGAAATATCGAGGAATTAAGCAGACATCTTGTGATATAATTGTTTTTAGCCCTTGTTTATACTCTGTGGTCTTCTTACTTTTTACTTGTTGAATACTGTTGTTAGTGTGAATTAAGCCTGTGACTATAGAGCACATTGAAATCATCTCTTTGCAAAAAATAAAGACAAACAGAAAAGAAAACAGGAGAGGGCTTAAAGATGGTGGAGGGAGGGAAGCATAGTTATCCTCTAGAACTGTACCTATGAAATACATGAAATCTGGTCCCTTTATATTAACAAAAATTTTAAATCTAAAAATTTTAAAAAGAAAAAAAGACTTATTAACAAAATTATTGATTTTTAGAACTATAGAACATTTTGACTTTTGTGTGCCAAAAATTATTTTGAAATTGCTTCACATTATTTAGTCATTGCTTGATTAATTTTTTTCTGAAATGAAATAGTTTTTAGTTTACCTTATAGTCAAACACTAAATAGATCTACTACATAAAGAGTTCATCAGTAAAAGGTAAAAAGAGTATAGTCCAACAAGAAAACAGACAAGGGCTATGAACAATAATCAAATGAAATTTGTTCATCTTTACTCTTGTAAAGTAAATTTTTAAAAAGTCACAAAACATTTTCCAAGGATACAAATTAGTTGCCAAGCTGATGAAATGCTTCCCCTTCTCCCCCAGGGTATACATTCAAGATTTATAGAATTTCCATCTGGGATTCACCCAATTACAATATACTAGTTGACATTATATGCACATGGTCTTGTACATAACGTCTTCCTGAATACCTAATAGGCTCTAAATAAATAAATCTTCAAGTATCTTTTGTTTGTTTTACTTTTATGTTGCATTTAATTTCTGCCTGGAAATATCATGCATATTCAAAAAGTCAGCTCTGTGTCTCCCAATTTCTTTTACTTACCTCACTGTTTGTGAATTTCCGTATTTGTCTAATTTGATATGTATTTTATCAACTCCAATACACTTAAGAAAAATCAAGACTACAAAAATTTCACTTGGCCATAATCACACATCTTACACTTTCATTTCTGAGGAACTATCCAGAAAACACCTCTGACAACATCCATTTTAGTAACAGCTTAAAGAGAGCATCCTGTCAGAGCAGTTTCTCACCACAAGTCCCTCTGTGGCCTCAGCACCTCTTCCTCTTGGGGTACACAGGAAAGGCCTAACACCCACCCAGCAATGTAAGCCAGACTGCAGCTCACTAGCCAAGAAGGCAGGTGGATAAAGTCTTGTGGTTATTCTCCACCAGCGAAAGTAATTTCTTAATATTTTGTTGTGAGGCTGCTTGCCTCAGATAATTTGAGCACAGCTATTTGCACAACATTGTAACTTTTCTTCCACAAAATAGTCTCTGAGGATTCAAACATATATGCCATAAGAAGCCTTATACACACACTTTTGTAGTCACTATTTCTGCATGAGTTCATTCTTGTTGATTTCATATCAGAAGATGTTTTCTGAAGTACTCCATGTTCTTCTGCAATTCCTAATAGCAAACACTACTGGTGATGCTTAGCAAATCCCCAATCAGTCTTCCATGATGATAGCTGCAGAGTGAGCAAACTCAAACTCAGCACTGAGAAAGAAATGAGAGTCTCTTTGAACATACTATTTCTTTATCTAAGAAAAAAATTTTTTAAATCACTATCCAGGAATCAGCCTGAAGTTTTCCTCTTTAATAATCTTTTCCACACTTAATCCATTTTGCTAAGGGGTCTTTATTTAGACCCTGGAACTCCCTGTGTTTACCTTGATCCTGGTATTTACCTCAGATAACTCTGTAGGTGTGTTTTTGTGACTTCCCACAGGCTGTCATGTTGGCATTTGCACCAAATAAAATGGGTAAGATATTTTCAAATGCTGTTTAGATTCTATTCCTATCTCTATTTCTCAATCTTGCATTTAAGTGACAAATAATCTCAATTAAATCTAAAGTCACTAATATAAAAATAGTTTTTCAGGTAAATATGATTTAGATTTTCCCACTTAAAAATCCCACATTTAAGCATCTATTAATTTTCTTTACACCAAATATTTGTAAGGATGTGGTTGAAAAAGACCATAAACACACACACACACACGCACACAAACACACACAAACACAGGGCCCAGCACTGTTGCTAATAGACTAAGCCTCTGCCTGCAGCACCAGCATCCCACATGGGCACCAGATGAAGTCCCGGCTGCTCCTCTTCTAATCCAGCTCTCTGCTGTGGCCTGAAAAATCAGCAAAAGATGGCCCAAGTGCTTGGGCCCCTGCACCCAGAAGAAGTTCCTGGCTCCTGACTTCAGATTGGCACAGTTCAGGCCTTTGCAGCCATTTAGGGAGTGAACCAGCAGATTGAAGACCTTTCCTCTCTGTCTCTCCCTCTCTAACTCTGCCTCTCAAATAAATAAATAAAATCTTTTTAAAAAGAGAAATTTCAACCTATGTGAAGCAGCATAGTTGATTCCACTTCAACTTGTACACAGAGTGTTTAAGAAGTTTATTTAATTTCAGTCTTTGCTTATTTCTGCACAGTTCTTTTTTTTTTTTTTTTTTTTTTTTTTTTTTTTGGACAGGCAGAGTGGACAGTGAGAGAGAGGGACAGAGAAGAGGGGCAACCGGGACAGAATCCGGCACCCCAACCGGGACTAGAACCCGGTGTGCCGGTGCCGCAAGGCGGAGGATTAGCCTAGTGAGCCGCGGCGCCGGCCCTGCACAGTTCTTACAATCATATTTTATGGTTACTTTCCACTTTTGATTTAGAAAGACTGTATAACCCCATCATTTGTTTCTCAAAACCATGCTACTTCTTATCACTGAATTCATCATTTTCAAATGCTGAAATGTTGGTGGAACCTAGCATTTATCCATTAGTGGATGGCCACATCTCATCCACCAAATTAGCAACATTATCTGTGTAGATAAGGCGGAAGTACTGTGGTTTGTGTTGTCTCTTCACAGGAAGGCAAGATTAGAATAATATTTGTCATACATTTCTCAGGGATCAAAACTGACTGGCATCTCTGCTTTTAATTCTAAATTAACTCAGTGCATGTCTAAATCATCCAGTTGTATAGAAGGCTTTTATCCACAAGAATCAGGATCTTCCTTCTCCTATCAGGTGTGTGTGTGTGTGTGTGTGAATTGAGGCAGTATATTTCAACTACAAAAAGTCCCTAAAAATAGTTATGCTATAATGTAATTATAATTGTTTTTGAATGATGGAATGTGATTGCTGAGGACAGGAATGCTTATCATTGCTATGGTATTGTCTTTATCACTGTATCCTATGATAGTTCATTAGGACATACTTATGCAAGAATCAAAAGTTATAATATTGCAGTAAGAAGACTTGCCTATAAGCAAAACTAACAGAATGAATCTTCACATTGTGTATCGGAATAATTTAATTTCAATTTACTTCTCATATTTTAGGATTTTCTGATCTTTGGAAGGCACTTATTTTTCTTTGATATAAAATTTATGTTCAAGAAAAAACAAATTATATCAATTCCTTAATATCACGATTAAATATAAAAATAGCTTTACTTTTAATATATATCTGTTATACATTTTTATTAAATAACTTTTCCTGAGAACTCTGCTAGATACTATAAGATATTAGTATATAAACAAGTGTGAGATTAATTTTTAATGATGATGGCATGAACAGAGATTGAACTTGAATGTACTGGGAAGAAATTCAACAAAAATTCATATATTATACCTAAATTTAGTTTTCAAAGATTATCAATAAAATAACTACAAACAGAAAAACCATGTGTGTCATTATCCAATTTCAGTGATGTGAAATATTTCTATAAATATCTTAATGTAAATGAACTAAACATACTGATTATATTTTTATGACATTTTAAAATAACATAATTATTTTACAACTTAGAGAAATTTAGAAAACTAATTTTATCTTTCTATGAATAGACTTTCCATTCTTTCATCTTTTTCTTTCAGATTTGCATTGGGGAAATTTTTCTATATTTTACTTGTCCAATAAAAATACGTCAGCATACAAGAACACAAAACATAAATGTCAAATTTTATTTTATTCAGAAAATCTTTGTGAATTGAAGGCTGTGGATTCCTCTTTGGGTAGAAGTACAGTCATAATTATATGATGGGGTTGATACGTGACCAGAGGTCTCATCATAGCTCGGGTATGTGTTTTCTATATCAATGTGAAGTTTTGCTTCTGGATCATTTTACGATAGCTGGAATTTTACTTAATTATATAAGTCATAGGAAAGCTTCACTTTCTGTTCATTTCATGTTATGTTTCTTTTATATTTCAAATCAAATCTTTAACACTTGGAAGGCTTTTTTCCCTTTAATTCATTAACTACCTGTGTGAAATCACTCAGAATTTGAAGTAACTTGAAATAATGAAATGACGTTAGGATTTGGAGTCAGAAAAATTAAATTTTAATCAAACTTTTACCACTCTAGTTTTGAGACAGAGACAATCCACAGCCTCCATGCCCTTTAGGGTTCTGTTTTGTTGTTGTTATTATTATTTTTTTATTTTTCCTTTCTGAAATATAAAACAAGTCATATTTACCTTGGTGGATTTCTGTAAGAGTAAGTCAAAAGACATATATTTGAACGTATTTCTCATCCAAAGAGTGTTATAAATGACTTGTGGTTGGTAACACTGTGTTTAATGAGCATATGATTTTGACAGTCTCTTAAATTCAATTTCTTCATCCATAAAATACCTTCTCTTTCCTTCATGTAGTTAATAATTGAATTACATGCTATATGTAGTAAATGTTTAAATTTTAGGTCTAAAATATAATAGTATTATTTCATTACTAAAAGACTTAAATGATTAATATTTTAAGAAGAAAGTGAAATTATTTTTACTTGTTTTGTTCAAAGGCAAGATTATGTATTTATTTTTTATCTTAAAACCTTTGTGTGTCTTTCACTATATAGAGACTAGGGTACATTAATGCTCACCTAATATTCACCACACGATTGACACTATTGCACTAGATTTATTATATTTTAATTCATTTCAAATGTACATATTAAATGGTAAACATATATTCTTTTCCTTTTGCTATGCTTTTTATTTTTTAAGTTAGGAAACTAAAATGCAAAAGTTAAATTTTCTTACTATATCATGTCCATATTTTAATGTTAGATTTTTTTCATACTATAAGTTATGAATTAACTGAGGATTTTCTAAGAATAGCTTATTATGAAAAATATCATTTTATTTACATAAAATGCACAAACATAATAATGAAGAAATATAAAACAAAAGTACAGCCATGTTATGCTTTAAATCATCCGTTCCTGAGGTGTAGATCCGTGGAAATGGCATGTTGAATTTTTAAAATCTGTGCTCCACATGACAGAAAGGCTATTACTTGTACTGTCTCGAATTGTTTGTCTCCAGAGATGAGTGAACTCCATAGTTGTGATTTTTATCTGGCAAAACGTGATACTTCTAAACGACGGCAAAGGCGAAGATTTACACCGATCACAAGCAAATGGAGAGAAAACTGTGAGTCCTGTGTTCCGTTTGCCGTCTCTCGGTGTGCTGAAGCGAAATTTGGAAACTGTAAGACTAAATCCGTGACAATTATTCAGTTTATTTGAGCTTCACGAGGAAATCAAAGGCATTCACTCTAATAGAATATTGGAATGCATACTATGATTAGGTAACAAAAATGATGAAATTATTTTGTATAAAAAAATACTTTGGACGGCGCCGCGGCTCAATAGGCTAATCCTCCACCTGTGGCGCCAGCACCCCAGGTTCTAGTCCCAGTCGGGGCACCGGATTCTGTCCCGGTTGCTCCTCTTCCAGTCCAGCTCTCTGCTATGGCCCCGGAGGGCAGTGGAGGATGGCCCAAGTGCTTGGGCCCTGCACCCCATGGGAGACCAGGAGGAAGCATCTGCTCCTGCTTCGATCAGTGCGGTGCACTGCTACAGCAGCCTTTCCGGGGGTGATCAACGAACGTAAGAAGACCTTTCTTTTCTGTCTCTTCTCACTGTCCACTCTGCCTGTCAAAAAAAAAAAAAAAAAACATTTTATAGGCATGAATTATGTCTGAATATCTCAGGGTTTAATGTGACTCTGTTAGAGACTAATGTACCATATTTCAGAAGGGGCTATGTTCTTGAAAAGTTCACTTTAAAATTTCTTAGGTACAAATATATTGTAATAACTCAAAGTACTATGAAAAATAAATTTGCTATATTAGTATAGGCATCATTAAATATTCAAACATTATGTAAAGCTAGGGAAATTGTATATAATGAATGGAAAAATGCTTTAATAAAATCAAGAAAAGTCTGAGAGAATTAAACAAAAACAATTTAAATAAAGTAAAATAAGCTCACTAATATTCATAACAGATAAATAAAATTAAAAACATTGCCATCAAATTTATACTTTAAAAATATGGGTAATATTTACTACTGAGGAAGATGTGACCAAACAGGCTCAAACATTTATTTTGGCATTATGTAAATTTGTATAACCTCTTCAGATTGAAATTGTCAGTCATTACACAAATTTTAAATGCACCTGCCCTTCACCTAGCAACTACCACAATGGAGATTCCTTCTAAAAGAGGACCCAGAAGAGCCCAGAGCCTTGACATAGTGGGTTAAGTCACCACCTGCAACACCAGCGTCTCATATGGGCATCAGTTTGAGTTCCAGCTGCTCTGCTTTTGATCCACCTCCCTGATAACGTACCTAGGAAAGCAAGAAAAGACAACCCAAGTACTGGGACATTTATCCTTAGGGAGTCCCAGGTGGAGTTCTTACTCCTGGCTTCAGCCTTGCCCAGCCTTGACCATTGCTGCCATTTTGGGGATGAACCAGCAGATAGAAGATTCTCTCTCCTTCTATCTCTTTCCTCTCTCTTTTTTCTCTCTCTCCCTCTCTCTCTCTGTCACCCTGCCTTTCAAATGAATAAATCTTTGAAACAAAAAATTCAAAACTATGCACAAATATGTAGGAAATATGCCATTATTTCTAACAGCAAAAACTAACAACTTAAAAATTCATTGGAAAAATTATGTCTATCAATAATTAGATTTTTCTGGATAAAATACAATGTAGTTATTTATGCCTGGAAATAATGACTGGGTTATTGTATTAAATGAAAACCAATCCACAGATACTTTATATGATCTCTTGAATACATATTTTTAAAATGTGGCTCAGAGGGGCTGTCTGTATTTATTATCATATCAACATAGAAAATGTTAAAATGATGAAGGTGATTTATTCTCTGGAGTGACTTGGAGAAGCTCGGGAGGATATGCTACATCTTCGTACTTTCATTTTTTTAATCATTTACAGAGACCTATGTTACCTTTTCTGAGAAAAAGCAGAAATACTTACATTTTCTCCTCATATAAAACACCCCAGTGTTTATGTTACACACAAGGATGCCTGGATTGTTTATCTTTCTCTTTATGATCTTTTTCTTGCTGTTTTTCTTTGACAGCACCTTCAATTATTTTGGCCCATTTTGTTGCTGTAGCCATGGGGATCCGTTTCATTGTAATGGTAACAATATGGAGTGCTATATTCATGAGTGGTAAGTAACAGATATATAGCACCATATTGTTGATATAACACCTGTAATGCATTCCCTTAATCAGAAGTCAGAAGCAGAAAAACATAAACTAACAATATTGAATGTGTCCTTATATTTTCCCTATTAGTCTAGACATGTGTAGGCTATTTTTGCTTGGCTTATGAGTGGCAAACAACACAAACCTTTTTAATGATTATGTTTTTCTTAATAGAATTATTGAACAAAGAAGTTCCAGTTTCTTCAAATGGTAAGTGATTATTTTGAAGTGATATTTTGAAGCACCCTTGTATGCATTGAAAGTCCCGTGCAGCATAAATGTGTTTCAGCCAATGACAGAGTGTGTATACCATGACAGTCCCAAAAACCTACTACAGAAATGAAAGATCTATATCACCTGTGATGTCATAGCCTTCATAATGTCTGGCACTACACATTAACCAGATTGTGGTTCTGCTGCTGTAAGCACACCTGCTGTGCTGCCAGTTATACAAATGTGTAGCACATATGTTATGTGCAGTGTATAATACCCGATACTGACACTAAATGACTATGTTGCTTGTCAGCTTATTATTCTTTTAATCCTTACTTTAAAGTACACTAGTTCTTACATGAGAAAATAGATTACTGCAGAGCTTACTGCGTTACACCAGCAGCAGCCTTATACTCTCATGTTTAATGCATCTCTTGATTGCATCATTTTCTCTTGTGCTTGATTTAATCTTGGGTTGTTTTGTCCATCATGACCCTAGCCATACTGACTGTGAGTTTACCTTAAGTGTATAATATACTGGCACAAATGTTAATGCTATGTAATGTTAACACAATGAAAAAATTGCCTAAGGACACATTTCTCAGAACTTGTTTCCACTTTTAAGTGACACATGACTGTACATGTGCTATGATGTGTGTACCCATTGACAATAAACAGGGAAGCTGAAAAAACATGCCCCTTGTCCATATTTAACTGTTTTTTAAATATTGAGGGAGCACTTGTAAAAAGTAGATAGTATTTAGTTTTGACATCTCCCTGTCTATGAATGTGTCTGTACACATGTATCCCTGTATAAGACCATAATGGTTTAATTACTTGGAATTTTAGAATTGGAATGAGGATGATATTTACTTTGTCTAGACAAAAATCTGCTATAATGTTCATATGTATAAAATCAATAATATATTCTCTCCTAGAAAGTTACTGTGGCCCATGTTCTAAAGACTGGATATATTATAGAAATAGTTGCTACTGGTTTTCTAATGAGCGCAAAAGCTGGTACCAGAGCCAAGCTTCTTGTATATATCAAAATTCCAGCCTTCTGAAGATATACAGTAGAGTGGACCAGGTTGAGTATTTAATTCCCTTTCCTATATTTAATCTTAACATATAAGGTATGGAAAAAAAAAAGACCTAAATGAAAGATCTCTGTGAGTGAAATCCCAGTGGAAAGAACAGGTCTTCAAAGAAGGAGGTACCTTTCTCTGAAGGGAGGAGAAAACCTCCACTTTGACTATGACCTTGTCTAAATAAGATAAGAGTCGGAGAACTCAAAAGGCTTCCATAGCCTTGGAAACTCATGACTGGGGCATAGGGAGATTACTGATGCCATAAACAGGAGTGTCAATTTGTAAAGTCAACAACAGGAGTCACTGTGCACTTACTCCTCATGTAGGATCTCTGTCCTTAATGTGCTGTACATTGTGATTTAATGCTATAATGAGTACTCAAACAGTATATTTCACTTTGTGTTTCTATGTGGGTGCAAACTGTTGAAATCTTTACTTAATGTATACTAAACTGATCTTCTGTATATATAGAAAATTTAAAATGAATCTTGATATGAATGGAAGGGGAGAGAGAGTGGGAAAGGGGAGGGTTGCGGGTGGGAGGGAAGTCATGGGGGGTGGGGGGGAAGGTGATGCCAATGTAGTCCATAAGCTGTACTTTGGAAATCTATATTCATTAAATAAAAGTTAAAAAAAATATAAGGTAACTCATTGGAATATGAGCCTGGAACATATGAATGGCACTCAGATTTAGATATTTTAATATAACACCCAAATATTTCTGCATTAAAAATAAGAAAGCACAGAAATCATAGATGCTGGTGTATGAGTCACTTACGGTAACTAGAGACAGAATACATTTTTCCCAGGAGCAATAAAATTGATTAAATGTTGTGGCCTTGTGTTTACTAACATTCTGAGCACTGATTTAACATGTAGGTTATTTGTGGTTTCAAATAGGATTTTTTAAAATTGATCAAGTCATATCATTGGATGGGGCTAGTACAAATCCCAACAAATGGATCGTGGCAGTGGGAAGATGGCTCGATTCTCTCAACTGACATGTAAGTCTCTGGGCCAGTAACTGTGGATTTGTTTCTGAGTTATCCCAGGATCACTCATCTAATACATCTTCTTTTGCAGGAGACTCCCATATACTAGTAGACTTAGTAAAAAAAAAAAAAATGCTTAGTTCCCAAACTTAAGAGAAAGTGTTGCAGAGTAGCTGATCTGAATAACAATGAGTAGCATAAATTGTTTACTGCCTACTAAGTCTCTTGCAAGATAGATGTCCGTTTCATAGATTAGGAAATTGAAGTAGTAGACCTAAGTATCACATGCACTTTTGGTATTTATTACCAGATTCTTTGAGATACGATTGACATGTATTAATAAGTTTTCACAAATGATGTATCCATAATACAATTAACAACATCATGAAAATTAATATATTACCTGCAAACCTTCCCTTGTGAGCTTTTGTAAGTTTCTTTTGTGCTCTTCCCTTCATTCCTCTTTTCCTTCCAGGTAACTAATCTGTTTTCTGTAATTATAGATTAATTTTCCACTAATACATTTTAATATAAATGGAGCCTAAAGAATATATTTGAATGTCTTTTTTTTAACTTGGCATAATTACCTTGAGATTTAACCACCTCACAGTGTGAGTAAAGAGTTAATTTTTTTTATTCTTGATAAGTATTCCATATGGATATAGCGCAGTTTGTTTATCTTTTTTCTTTGGTATATATTTAAATAGTTCCTCCTTGCTGACTATTGCAAATAAAGGTGCTTGCTGTGAACATTTACGGCAAGTATGTGTATGAACATGAATTTCCTTTCTCTTATACTGATACCAGAGAATAGAATAGACAAAAGCGGCTGGCACTGCAACTCAATAGGCTAATCCTCTGCCTTGCAGCGCCAGCACACCGGGTTCTAGTCCCAGTCACGGCGCCGGATTCTGTCCCCGTTGCCCCTCTTCCAGGCCAGCTCTCTGCTATGGCCAGTGAGTGCAGTGGAGGATGGCCCAAGTCCTCGGGCCCTGCACCCCATGGGAGACCAGGAGAAGCACCTGGCTCCTGGCTTCGGATCAGCGCAGTGCGCCAGCCGCAGCACGCCAGCCGCGGCAGCCATTGGAGGGTGAACCAATGGCGAAAGGAAGACCTTTCTCTCTGTCTCTTTCTCTCTCTCACTGTCCACTCTGCCTGTCAAAAAAAAAAAAAATAGACAAAAGCTTAGCGTTTTAAGAAAATGTCAATCTTATCCAAAGTGGTCATGAAATTTTGCAAATGTTACACTCCTTCCAACAGCATGTGAGAGCTCTAGTGGCTGCACATCCTGGTCTACCCTTGATATAAGCAGTCTTTTACATTTAGACATTCTAATAGATGTAAATTGGCATCTCATTGTGGTTTTCACTTGCATTTCTCTACTGACTAATGATGCTGAGAATCATCCTTTGTGCATATCATTTTTAAATGTTCTAATTCACTGATTTCTGCTCTGATCCTATTTTTCTTATTCTGAATTAAATTTGCTTTCTTTTTTCTAATTTCTTATAATGAAAGTTGAGATAGTGATTTGAAAACTTTCTTCTTTTCTAATAAATTTTCTTGCTATCAATATATGAGGTAATTTGGAAACTTCCCTGAATATCTTGATACTGTGTTTTCATTTATATGCAGTTAAAAATAGCTTCCAAATTCCCTTTTGCACTCTTTGTCAATTGGTATTGATTATTCAGAAGTATATCATTAGTTTTCAACATTTAAAGATTTTGGAGATACTTTGGTTGTAAATTTTAAATGTAGTCCTATTTTTATCAAAGGACATACTTTATATTGCTTAAAACATCTTAAACATATTGTGATGGTTTTTAGGAAGTAAACTACAGTCTATGTTTAGAAGTGTTCTATGTGCATTTGAGCAGAACATGTTTTCTGTCATTCCTGGGTGAGTGTTCCATAAACATCACTTATGTCAAGTTGGCTGTTAGTACTCCTCAAGTCTTCCATTTCCTGCCTAATTCCTGACTACCATGTTTTGCTTATAAATTTGTTTACTTATGTTAACTATTTCATAATTATTTAATAATAATTAAAATAGAAATATTAAGACATTGGACTCTAATGATAGATATACGCTACTCCTTACAATTCAAATGGATTTTTTTGTATCTTTTTCCTTTAACCTACAGATAACAGTAGACCAGATTGTTTGTAATTTCACATGGAAGTCACATCATCTTAATCTTATATTCTCCAGCTATTCAATAAGAAAAATATTCACCATTTATTTTATTAATCAGATACCTCCAAAATACACAAAATCTTGGGTTAAAATACATCAGTAGATAGATATCACCACATGAAATACACACACACACACACACGAGACTTTTACAGTTTATTTTAACTTATTTGCAACAACTATATATATGTGAGAAAAGATTATTTATTTTTACATAAAATGCATTTGTTGATTTCAAAATTGAATTCTGAGTTCATTTCTATCCTAAATATTTGTTTTTAAGTAAATATTTTAAAACATTGGTTTCATTTAGGTACATAAATGAAGAAATTTTAGACTTCAGAATTGACTAATTTTCAGTATATGAAAAATAATAATTTATACTAAAATGTTATTTTTGCCTTTATTATCTGAGTTGACTACATTTTTAGTATCTATGAATTAAAAGTGTAAGCATGGCCCTAAACTGATGTTATTTAAATTCCTCTTTCTGAAGTTAAATATAATGATTTCATTTTATGTTCCTACATTAATAAAGACATGAAAGTAATACATAATTCTCTTTAATGTAGACTACCAATTATTGAAATGCAAAATGGAAGCTGTGCAGTCTATGGCTCAAGCTTTAAAGGCTATACAGAAGACTGTTCAACTCCAAACACATACATCTGTATGCAGAGGATTGTGCAAGGAACCAATCAACCACTCCACAAAAGTGGATAGAAAAAAAATTAAATCAGTAGAAACACCACCAGCTGCAACTAAAGCAGAGAAAATGGACCTAAAGGAAAGAAGACTGTCAGACTTGGAACATCTAGGACCATATTATGGAATTATTCATCTGCTGTGAACATGTGACATTAGGAAAGACAAGAGTACCTGTCATGAAGGCTACCACTCCCACTGGAATGTTTGAGCTGATGGAGGGGAAGAGCCTTAATTTCAAAGGGCGAGGCCAACACCCAGGAGAGCTGTGAGGGAAGGTCAGCCCTACGGACCCTGAGGGGCTACACCCTATCTCCACAGGAAACTGCCACATGAGTGGGTCCTCAGTAGAGAGCCACAAGCTAGGCAGAGCTTCGCCCAGCTGTGGGGCTGAGGTTATCACCTCAATAAATCTAAAAGACAGGACTGCTGCTCCAGGACACCTGGAGGGAAAAGTATGAAGTCAGAGAGAATTATCTTTGAGACTAAAGATCTCACAGAATGTGCTGTGCTGGGTTTTGGCATGGGGACTCACCTTTCCTCCTTCCCTATATCTTTCTTTTTAATGGCAATACCTATCCCATACCAGTTCCACCACTGCATTTTGGAAATGCATGAATTGCTTTGTTTCACATATTCATAGCTAGAAAATAATATGGTCTCAAAATAAATTTCCCTGGATATTAACCGTATCTTATTTAGATGATATTTATATGAGATTTTATACTTTAGACTTTATAGTTGTTGCTGGAAGGAGTTAAAGTCTTTGAGGTTGTTGGGATATCATGAATGCATTTTCCGTGAGAGAATGACGTGAATTTGGAGGGCTAGGAAGAGACAGACTGATTATACTTGTGTCCTTCCAATATTCCTATTTGAAATTCTATCCATCAATATTATGGTATTAGGAAGTAGGACTTTGGAGGTAATTTAGGCCATGAGGGTAGAGCCCTCTTAGTGGAATTTATGCCTTTGAAAAAGGACCCCCAGAGAACACGTCAGCCTTTTTTCTACCAAATGAGAAAACAAATTGAGCCTGCTACCTGGAGGGGAGCCTCACCAGAACCAAGGCATTCTGGCACCCTGGTCTCTGACTTTCAACCTCCAAGACCATGAGAAATAAATTCATATAATTTATAAACTACTCAGTCTATGGTACTTTCTTATGGTAACCCAAATGGACCAACATAGGTGGAGGAAATAGAATAACATTAGGTCCCACTGAAAATAGCAAAATATATTTTATAATATTATTGTAGAATGTCCCAACACTTGGGGAAAACATTGCCAACCAAAAAGCAGACAAAAATCTGTAGACTCTCAGAAATGAGTCAATATAGAGAGAAAACAGAAAAGCAACCACAACACTTGCCTTTACTCTGGAGGTTTCTAATAACCACGGAGAATTTCTGTTTTGATAGTTGCCATAGAGCAATAGAAAAACATAAGATACAGCTTAAGGATCACTAAAATGAAGGGTTAAATACAAGTTACACTTCTAATACTGGGATTTCCTCTAAGATACAAGCTCATACAAAGAATCAAGAAAACCAACAGTTCAGGAAATAGTTACAAAGAATCTTTACCTTTGATGAGATGAAGACAGAAATGAAAACCTCATGGAACATTTTTAACCACAAATGAGCCCTCATTTAAATTTACAGGCCAGTCAGTCAAAAATTGAAGTACAAAAGTATTGTGGTCAAAAGTTTATGTGAAGTAATTCAAAGTTAATAATGGTCTGACTGTTAACTATACCAACACTTTCAGAAGGAAAAATAACTCTAGCCCAGATATTTTTTTAAGATGTATTTATTTATTTATTTATTTGAAAGGCAGAATTACAGAGAGGCAGAGGCAGAGAGAGAGAGAGGTCTTCCACCTGCTGGTTCACTCTCCAGATGGCTGCAACTGTCAGGGCTGAAGCCAGCAGCCAGGAGCCAGGAGCTTCCTCTGGGTCTCTCACCCCGGTGCAGAGGCCCAAGGACTTGGGCCACCTTCTACTGCTTTCCCAGGCCACAGCAGAGAGCTGGATTGGAAGTGGAGCAACTGGGATTCAAACCAGTACCAGCACTGTAGGTGGCAGCTTTACCTGCTATGTCACTGTGCCAGCCCCCACTAGCCTGAATCTTAAAAGAATTTTGACAAATAACCTTCCAAATTTGATGAACACAATGGCAAAAATCACAAAACAGAGAAAGCAAAAGAGAGAAAAAAAGAAGAGAGAGCACTATTTTAACATTTTACTTTTTATTTTATTTTAATTTTTTAATTAATTTTAATTTTTTTATTTTAATTTATTTTAACATTTAAGTAATGTGAGTAAAGGACCAGTAGTCATCTATAGTCATTTCTTTCAGGATTTTGTTTAGTCTGAAATTTTGTTGAAATTAAGAGCTAAAATAAACAACTGGAATCAGTTTTGAAGCATCTTTCTCTCTTATACACTGTGCCTAATATTCCAGCAAATCCAAGTCACACACACACACACACACACACACACACAAGCCCAGAGTCTATTTCTCATCACCACCTTCTTTGCTGACAAGCTTGTGTTTCTGGTGAATTGAATAATTTTTAATTTTTGTGAAATACTTTTATTTTACCTTAATCTTTGAAGGATATTTCTACTGAGTATCTTTTTTGAGAGTTAATTTTGTCACACAGAAAGCTAAATACCATTGAATACTGACTTCCCTTGTTTCAGTTAAGACGTTAGCTTCCGGGGCCGGCGCTGTGGCACAGCAGGTAAAGCCACTGCCCGCAGTGCCGGCATCCCATTCAGGTGCTAGTTCAAGTCCCGGCTGCTCACTTCCGATCCAGCTCTCTGCTATGGCATGAGAAAGCAGCAGAAGATGGCCCACATCCTTGGGCCTCTGCACCTGCGTGGGAAGACCTGGAAGAAGCTCCTGTTTCTGGTTTCAGATCTGCACAGCTCAGACCGTTGCGGCCAACTGGAGAGTGAACCAACAGATAGAAGACCTCTCTCTCTCTCTCTGCCTCTCCTTCTCTCTGTATAACTCTTAAAAAAAAAAAAAAAAAGAATTTAGCTTCCTAGAATATTTTTTCCTAGTATATTGGTGTTTTATTTCTCTTTCCCTGGCTACTATCTCTTAACTTTTTATGCATTTATTTTTATTTATTTGAAAGGAAGAGAGAGACAGAGATCTTCCGACTGCTGATTCACTCCCCAAATGCCCACAATAGCCATGCCTGAACTAGGGCTGAAGTTGGAAGCCTGAAACTCAATCCAGGTCTCTGACAGGAGTGGCTGAGACACAAGTCCTTGAGTCATCACCTGCTGTCTCCTAGGGTGTGAATTAGTAAGAAGCTGGAATTCTGTAACCCCACATGATCTTTTAGTTTCAATCACTCTGTTTGGGATTTGTGTACAGGAAGTAGCTGGATGCTTTCATTTTACTGTATATCTGTTTGGGTGAGTTCAAGGAGTCTCAGGACCCCAAGGAAGTACAAGCCTTTGTCAGAGTTTTCCAAGATCTCTGCTTTCCTCTCCTGGTCAGTATCACATGGTTTTCCTCTAACAGCTGTGGGATCCCGCCACCGCGACCTTCACCGCAGCTCAGGCCTGCCTCCTGGCGCTTATCTGCCTGCTTTTCTATTTAAAGCTTTCTTACCTTATGAACCCCTTTCCTATATTGTTGGTGAAACTATCAGTTTCTCACGTCTTTCCATAAACATTACTATAACGGGGACATCTTCAGCCCAGATCAGGTTCTTTGCTAAATCTCATAATCATCCTGTCCTCTTTGATGAGAACTTATTTGCAATTGCGCATTTATTAACAGACTTTATTAATGTCTGCCTTCCTCTCCAGTTTGAAAATAGACATAGTTCTTTGATGTGTACAACTGTAAATCTCCACATTTAAAATTCAGTGTCTGACCAATGACAGGAAAATATTCTCCTTGAATGAGTTAAATACCAGTAGAAACAATAGATTTTCACACTCCTTGCCCCTTAGGTAGCTTAAAAAAAAAAAAAAAGTTATGCTATCTCCTGGATCTCTAAACTCTCTTTTAAAGCATTATTTTGTATCTTAGCTAAAATGTATTTTTTTTTGAGGTTTACTTTATCAGGCAATTTTCTCTTCTGACCCTGACCATTCACTCCTGTCATGGAAGACCATAGAGAGGCAAAAAAATATTGCTGTTTTATATAAACCTGTACATGAATATGAAACTATGATGATAAAAGTACTACAACAGGCCGGCGCCATGGCTCACTAGGCTAATCCTCTGCCTGCGGCGACGGCACACCGGGTTCTAGTCCCAGTAGGGGCGCCGGATTCTGTCCCGGTTGCCCCTCTTCCAGGCCAGCTCTCTGCTATGGCCCAGGAATGCAGTGGAGGATGACCCAAGTCCTTGGGCCCTGCACCTACGTGGGAGACCAGAAGTACCCGGCTCCTGGCTTCGGATCAGCGTGATGCACCGGCCACAGCATGCCATCCATGGCGGCCATTGGAGGGTGAACCAATGGCAAAGGAAGATCTTTCTCTGTCTCTCTCTCTCTCACTGTCCACTCTGCCTGTCAAAAAGAAAAAAAAAAAAAGTACTACAACGCCAGAAAGTCTAAAACGTGGATCCACTAGGATTTTATTTAATAGGTCTATGAAAATAAATTTTGTTATTACTTACTTGTTATTACTTACTTTCTTTGTATTATTTTTGCTGCTAATATATTGTTTATTACATTTATCCTGTTACATACTGAGAATTAAAGTTTAAAAAAGTAATCATCTTATATGATCTTCAGTGTTTAATAACATCTTATTATAACCATAGTTCATATAGTCGAAGTCCTCACACTGAAAAATTTCAAGTGTTTATTCGAAATGATTTTCATTTCAATAACTATATTTGAACACATTTGAATATGGTGTCTTCTTACAAATACAATAGCCAGTATTTTGACAGTCTTCAGCAATTATCTGGCCATATTTTATAAGCATGCATTTATTACTGACATTCTCATTTTCTGGAAGTTGAAGCCTGGAAAAGAATATACGTTCCATTAAATTCCAAATATACTTGATACATAAATCATATTTTTAAGTCCTTTACATGTTGAATTGGTTATAAAGAAGCAGACAAGTCATTTTCTCAGGTTCTAACAACACAAGTAATGAAGGCTGTATTAAGCAGTATCCAACATTAAAATCTGGAATTCAAAATGTCAACATCACCTTTAACTCTGGCTACCATCTCTGTGATCTCAACTCAGAATTTTACTTGGCATTTACACTATTTTCTTTCCACTTTTGAGGAGAGGAAGAGAGAGTGAGCTCACATGTACTGGTTTACTCCCCAGTGCCCAGAATGGCCAGAGCTGGGCTACGAACAGAACAAGGAGCTGAAAAGTCAATCCAGGCCTCCCACATGAGTGGTAGGAACCCAATAACTTGAGTTCTTCCTGAGTCTGCATTAGCAGGAAACTGGAGCTGAGAATCAAACCCAGGTACTGTGATGTGTGACGAAGGTATCAACTGCTAGGATAAACACAGGCTCCTTTAAGTTGGAATTTTTAATAATAGGTTCTGCAGTATACACAGTACAATAAATTGTGGATAATCATAAGTAACAACTAATTCTTCTTTGGAAATGTCTACTTTCCTTCTTCCAAATTAGAGATTGGATGTTCATACTAGAAAGTATACATAATAATTTCAAACAATTATATATTTGCATATAATGAGGACCAAACAATTCAGGAAATATTTCATTAAAATTCCTGAAGGTGGGCATACATCCATAAGACTGCCTCCAAAAGTTTATGAAAAATTGAAATTAAAAGATACATTTATTTTTAAATCCATGAATAGATTTTTATATGTATTTTCTATGAACTTTTTGAATCCTTCTCATATGCTTGGCTTTCAAACATTTTTTAGCAAAATAAACATTTTCTAATTCCATTTTTTTCTAATTTTTAAGTATTTTTCTGCTACATTAAGTGGAGTAATTAGCAACAAATAGAAAATGACTTAGGAGCCTAGATGAATCAGACATTCTAAGATGGCAGAATAGGGAAGGGAAGACGGCTATAGGCTAGGGGTAAATAGTAAAAAAAAAAAAAATTTAAAAGTACATTCTCAGGGAGCATTAGGGAGAAACCGCAGTGGAAACTCTACAGAAGGCAGAGAAACACCATGCATCAGTGTGGAATTGCGAATATCAGCACAAGCGCAGCCACAACACAAGACCCCAGAAGCCAAGAGCCAGCTTTGGAGAATGAGGTGAGATGAGACTGCAGCAGCCCCGGGGTCTGGTGCTGTGTCTGGAGGGAAAGCTTGGTGTGAATCTGGCCTGGAGCCCTAAGGGGGATACAGTACACGCTAACCCAGTGGGAAAAAAATGTGGGGCATGTTTCTCTCTCCCTTTCCCCCCACAACAGCCTCCTGTAACTGAGAAAGGGCAAGCACTATTGTGGGCATAAACAGCAGCAGCGGAAACTCGGGCGCATATGCCCAGCAGGTTGTCAGCAGTTCAGGTGTGCATAGCCAGCAACTGTCAGGGAGAAGGCGACACTGTGAAATGAGTAAGGGTTGCGGCTGGCAGCTCATGTGCATGCATGTGATCCAGAGATTCTAGAAGAGAGAAAAATCTGTGTTCCACGCTGACTTTAAGACTAGCTGGGAGGATTGACAGGGGTCTGGACACCCACACAGGACTGTGAGGTGCCCCCAGCTGCTCAAGGTATCACAGGCTCTGGGGCTCAAACCCCCAGTGCAGCACCCACAGGAAGCAGGCTCTCTCTCTTTCTGCCTCTCTGCAGCTCTGCCTTTCAAATAATAAATAAATAAATCTTTAAAAAAAAGAAAGAAAGAAAACAGTGTAGATATACATAAGAAATCTAAAAATAGATCTATCATATGACCCAGTAGTTCCACTCTGGGGATTTTACTCAAACAAAATGAAAGTTGTTGAAAGACTTACCTGTATCTCCATGTTCATCGCAGCTCGATTCACAATAACTGAGATATTAAATCAACCCAGATGCCCATAACAGATGACTGGTCAAATAAATTATGACATATATACACTGTGGAATAATATTTAGCAGTAAAAAAAATGAAATCCTATCTTTTGCAACAAAGTGATGTAACTGGAAACCAGTCAGTGAAATAAGCCAGTCCCACATATTAGATAATACATGTTTTCCCTGATCTGTGATAACTAAAAGAGTACATAGAAAGTAATGGCTCTCATACAGCTCCTGGTTCCTGGCTTCAGACTGGGCCAGCTCCAGCCATTGCCACCATTTGGTAAATGAACCAGTGGATGGAAGATTTCTTTCTTCCTATCTCTCCCTCTTTCTACTTTGGCCTTTCAAATAAGTAAATCATTCTTTAAAAACTTGATGCACTAGCACTGTGGCATAATGGGTAAAGCCACTGCCTACAGTGCCAACATCCCACATGGATGCCAGTTCAAGTCCCAACTGCTCACTTCTGATCCAGCTCTCTGCTATGGCCTGGGAAGGCAATGGAAGACGGCCAAAGGACTTGGGCCCCTGCACCCATGTGGGAGACCTGGAAGAGGCTCATGGCTCCTGGCTTCGGATCGGCACAGGTCTGGCTGTTGTGGCCAATTGGGGAGTGAACCAGTGGATAAAAGACCTCTCTCTCTCTCTGCCTCTCCTTCATTCTGTGTGTAATCATGACTTTCAAATAAATAAATAAATTTTTTTAAAAAAATGTGATGCATCCATAGCTTAGAGTAAAATAAACCACATTAAAATTAAAATTCCAACTATGAAATGTACTCGGTGTATAATCTTATACAAATTTATTTATTCAATTATCATTTAATAAAATGTAGAATGCTAATACTTCAGTCATAGAACAATTTAAATGAATTATAAAAGTAAAATGATGAGTAAAATAGTACAGCAACTATTTTACTCTCTTCTTTTGCATCTATGTTTTTCCTGAGCAATGTATTATAAATACATACCATAAAATACAGCATCGAGGTGCTGGCACTGTGGCTCAGCGGGTTAAATCCCTGGCCTGCAGTGCCAGCATCCCATACAGGCACTGAGTCCCAGCTGCTCCACTTCCTATCCAGCTCCCTGTCAATGCACCTGGGAAAGCAGTGGAAGATGGCCCAAGCCTTTGGGACCCTGCACCCACGTGAGAGACCTGGAAGAAGCTTCTGGCTCCTGGCTTCAGCCTGGCTCAGCCCCAGTTGTTGTGGCCATTTGGGGATTGAACCAGCAGATGGAAGACCTCTCTGTTGCTACCTCTCTTTGTAAGTCTGTCTTTTAACTAAATAAAATGAATCTTTAAAAAAAATACAACTATCCATATCCATATTAATTATTTATATTTGCATGAAAATAATACTATTCTGGATAGAACTTTTAACACATCAAAAGACTTACTTGTCCAAAGTAAGAGCTGTGCCATCTAGCCAAACCCATATCAGTTTTTTGTTATTGTAATATAAACTGATCCAAAAGTTTTCTTGCTCTAAGCCACATTCCATCTTTGACAAATTTTTTACAAAATTCTGCAGAGTGATAAGGAAACAAATCAGATACTAGAACTTTACATGAAACAGAAGAATATAACGATTTAAATATGTATATGTCATTTACAGCTTCCACTTTGTATTCTCTGTCCTGTAATATTGAACAAAACATGGAGCAATTGACCTAGATCCTTGAGTCATAGCTGCATAAGAATTATCAATGACTCATGTATTCACTGAGCAATTATTCTTAGTCCACATTAAACCTGCACATTTTGTTAGGTGATGGGTTGTATGAGAAAATATGCCTGATTACTACAGTTGCTTAGACAAGATTAAGCACCCAAAAAATGGAAAGACATCAATTGAGCCTTTGTAATCAGTAGTACACATACTACAAGAAAGGAAGTGAAGGAAAAGACTTAGAAGGAGATTTTTATTATCACTTACTTACTTGAAAGAGAGAGAGAGAGACAGAGAGAGAGACAGAGAGAGAGATCTTCCATCTGCTAGTTCACTCCTCAAATGGCCACAACAGTCAGGTTGGCCCAGGCTGAAGCCAGGAGCCAGGAATCTGGTTCAGGTCTCCCACCTGGGTGGCAGGAGCTCAAGTCTTGGGCATTCATTGCTGCTTCCCAGGCACATTAGCATGGAGCTGGGTCGGAGGTGGAACATCCAAGACTAAAGCAGCACGTTAATATAAGGTGTAAGTGTCCCAATTTGTGGCTAAACTCACTGTGCCACAATGCCCACAAAGGTGATTTTAACAAAGAATATTTTCCAAGGGGATTGTCCAATAAGCCAAAATCTTTAAAAATGAGAATGCATTAAATATGATAATACAGTTTGGGAGAGGGCAGGTGAAGGAGATAAAAATCTACCACTGGGGCCAACACTGTGTCACAGAGGATTAGGCGACTGCCTGTGAGATTAGCATCCTATATGAGCATGAGTTCAAGTCCTGTCTGCTCCACTTGTGACCCACCTCCTTGCCAATTTGCCTGGAAAAGCAGTAAAAGATGCATGGATCTCTGCCGTCCACAGAGGAGACCCACTTGAAGTTCCAGGCTCCTGGCGTTGGCCTGGCCCAGCTCCGGCTATTGCAGCCATTGGAGAAGTGAACCAACAGATGGCAGATTCCCTTTCTCTCCCTGTCTCTCTCTCTCTCTAACTTTGCCTTTCAAAATAAGTAAATAAATCTTTCCAACAAAAATCTGTCAAAGCAAATGAGACAGTATTAGCAAAGCATGGACAGATAGAGTACAGGGAAGTCGTGTCAGTTTAAGGAAGTTTCATGGAGACTCTGGCTTGCTTCCCTTAGAACAGTGTAACGGAGCTATTTAGAGTGGAGGAGGTCAAAAACGTAGGTAGAAATCAGGTTGCAGATGGCCTTATGCACAAGTTTTTTGTGCTTTATCCCAAATGTTAAGGAAAGCAACATATATATTATTAAATTACACATTCAACATTACAAAGTGAAATGATTTCCATGATTTCAGTATAAAAAGTACTTTAGGGGGCTGGCGCCATGGCTCACTAGGTTAATCCTCCGCCTGCAGCGCCAGCATCTCATATGGGCACCAGATTCTAGTCCTGGCTCTCCTCTTCCAGTACAGCTCTCTTCTGTGGCCCAAGAGGGCAGCAGAGGATGGCCCAAGTGCTTGGGCCCCTGTACCCACATGGGAGACCAGGAGGAAGCACCTGGCTCCTGGCTTCGGATCGGTGCAGAGCCGGCCGTAGCAGCCATTTGGGGGGTAAACCAATGGAAGGAAGACCTTTCTCTCTGTCTTTCTCTCCCTGTCTATAACTCTATCTGTCAAATAAAAAAAGTACTTTAGAAGAATATAAAATGTGAACAATTGCTACAAAATATAACATTTTCTGACACTTAAAACCCCAAGAATTTAAAATACAAAACATTGTCTTTACCATCTCTTCTTCAATATCCAATCTGAGAAAACTTGAACCTGAATCAATGCAATGTTGAGAACATTCTTTCCAACGAAGCTCTTTTCTTGAAACATGGTAACAGTTTTCTCCATACTGATGCCAGTTGACTGGACAAATAGGACATTCCCAAACTGTGCAAAGAAAATTAAAGAATATAACAGATTTCCTTCCATCAGTGCAAGTTTATATCCAATACATCCACATAGCAATTTTACCATATAATAATAAAAATAGCACTTGAATTTTATGTTACGGGTATATACACTTAAACTTAGTATTAGGTTTGTATTAAATTCATAATTCCCCTCTTTGATAATATTTTCATCTCTAGATTCATAAAATTCATATAGGGAAACAAAGTACTTCTCTCAAAAATTATAAAAGTAGCAACTTATAAGGAAATTTATCCATTATAATAACTGTTAAACATTATCAATATAATTTTATATATGTTCAATACTTTAATAACATATATATGTCTATTATAAGAAAAATCTGTAATCTTAAGGAGCTAGATGAGCAATACATAAATGAAATCATAAATAGGTGTCTACTCAATGTAAACCAGGATCCTATCACAAAACTATATTCATCCTTGGGTCTGCATTTGATAATGCCATTATTTGACCACGTAGCTAACATATTCATAAGACTACAAGAAAAGAACTCTTTTACATACAAGTGGATTTGATTTATATATACTTACATGCATCCAGTTACAAATATAAGGCAAAATAGTTAAAACACAGTTAATTCTCTCCTCTTTCCTGAAAATAGTTATGGATCAGAGACTCTTTAAAATTACCTGTTTCATTTTCTTCCTTGTTAGAAGAAATATTTTTCAGGTATTCTTCTGCTTGAAATAAGTTCTGATTCACTGAAGAGAATTTCATACAATCAGTTGTGATTTTTATTGATTGACATATTTTATTTTGAAAGGGAAAGAGATAGAGATAGGTCACATACATATAATCCAAATACCCACAATAGCCAGGACTGTTCCAGGCCAAAGACAGGAGCTCAGAATTTGATTTAGTTCTCCCATGGAAGTGGCAGAGACCCAAAGGCTGGAGCCATCACTTGATGCCTTCCAGCATCTGCCTACAGGAAGCTATAATGAGGACCACAGCCAGAACTTCAATTCCAGTGTTCCAACATGGGATGTGGGTAACCCAAGTGTCATCTTAACTGCTATGCCAAACTCCAGCCTCCAGAATTGTCAGTTTTAAATTCACATAGAAAAATCATTAGACATTTCTATGTACAAGACACTGTATTAACTTTGGAAATGCAAAAATGATTAAAATATCACTTGCTTCAAAGAATTGAAATTAAATAAGGGAGGCACAAAAATAAGAATTAAACCAAAAGCACAGTAGGAAAATGACCACAAAAAAAGGAAAAATGATAACAATTGTTACAAAAGCCTAAATAGTGCTTCTTTTTTTTTTTTTTCAAATTATTTCTGGTAAAAGAAGCATGAGATGAAGTATTAAGTCATTAAGTAAGGTTCATGATATACTTAGAAAATCTGCAATGATTGGATAAGTCTGAAAGAAAATATCTCCAGTTCTATACTAAGAACATAACACATGATCAAGAAATTCAATCAATTAACAAATATGATAACCTCAATAGTTTCCCCCTACGAGGACTGGGAAAGTGGGCTTCTGTTTCACATTGTTACTTACACTTTGCAGCTAGAACTCCTACTGACAGAAGCAGGATGAGGCAAATGATCCACAGAATCACTGCCACAATTTTCCATGGAGATGGAGAAGAAAGATCTATAGGGAAAGATGAGTTAACCGTATCACATCAACTTGCGAACATTTATTCGGAGTATTCGGAGTCCTGCTTTGTCCTTCAATGTGCTAAATGACACAGATGGCTCACACTCCAAAAACAGGGACAAAGCAAAATCATAACTCATTTGTGTGAATTAGACTCCTGAATTCAAAAAACAACCAAGTGCTTTTCTGCTATGTTTCTTCTGGTAGTTAGATGGTTTGAGGTCCTGTACTAAAGTCTTTCATCTATTTCCAGGTGAGTTTTGTGCTGCATGTAACAGGAATCCACTTTCACTCTACCGCTGGTTGACAGTTTCCCATCATCATTTCTTGAAGAGACTTCTTTCCCCATTGTATTTTTGGTCACAGCGTTGTTTTGGAAAATGTGTGAATTATTTCTGAAATCTTTTATTTTGTTCTGTTCTAAATGTCTGTTTATGCCACTCATACTGTTTTGATTATGGTAACTCTGATATATATTTGGAAGTCAGGAAGGGTATACTGTCTCTACATTTGCTGTTCTTGCTCATGATTGCTATGGCTATCTGCTGCCTTCTTGGTTCCATATGATTTTAGAATTATTTCTCTGTATAATAAATGCTTTTAAATGCTTTTGGGATGTTGATAGAGTCTGCAATGAATCCGTAGACCACTGTGAATAGTATGAACATTTTAACCATTTTACTATCCTTCCATGTATGCATTCCTTAATTTAATCAATGGCTCATGATTTCCAGTGTACAAGTCTTTCATCTCTTTAAGTTTATTGTTATGTTATGCTTTTAATACTATTATAAGTAAAATTTTCTTAATTGCTTTTTAAATAGTTTATTATTAGGACAGAATAACACAACTGATTTTTATGTTGATAATTACATCCCACAAATTTTGTTTACCAGTTTTAACAGGTTTTTTTTAGCTTTAAGGTTTTCTACATGTAAGATTACACCATTTATTTAACCAGGTAAGTTTTGTGTTGAATGTAACAGGAGCCCACTTTCACTCTACTGGAGAAAGGGAGAGAGAGACAAAGACAGAGAGAAATCTCCCTTTCACTGGTTCACTCCTCACATACCAAGTCAAAGTTAGGAGCCCAGAACTCAATCCTGGTATCCCATGTATGTGGCAGGGACATGACCGCTTAAGCCACCCACAGTTGTGCATTAGCAGGAAGTTGGAATTGTAGCAGAGCCAGGAGTTGAGCCTCTACACTCTCATCTGAGATGCAGGCACCCCAAATGCCCACCCCTCTCTTTGGTTCTTGATGTTGATCTTTATTTTTACAACAGTTGTGGAATGTGATAGCAAAAGCACAGGCTACGATAGTAAAAATAAAGAAGTATAATTGTACCAAACTAAAAAGCTTCTGCACAGCAAAAACAACAAAAAATAAGCAGTTGAAAGACAATCTACAGAATGGTAGAAAACCATAGATCTGATCAATAGTAACATCTGAAACATAAAAATAAATTGGGGGCCAGCGCTGTGGTATAGCAGGTAAAGCCACCGCCTGCAATGTCGGCATGCCGTATGGACGTTGGTTTGTGTCCCCACTGCTCCACTTCCGATGAGCTCTTTGCTATGGCCTAGGAAAGCAGTAGAAGATGGCCCAAGTCCTAATGTCTAAAATAGGACTGACCTTTGCTTTGGCGAGTTTCAGGCCTTCGCCTTCTTTGCTGAGGTCGCACATTAGAATAAATTACCCCCTCTTCACGCATTACTGGAGGGCAAAGGTAAAGTAAAAATAGATTTTAATTCATATAAGTGGTGAAACCAATAACTAAAATTGATGTTGAATAAAATAAAATTGAGTTTGTGCTCAGATTATAAGTAATGTGGATATAATCACAAACATAAGCACATTTTAAGTATAATATTTTTTACTTAGTGAGTTGAGTTACTATACCATTTTTGGTCCCTTTCCTAGTTTCCAATTACAATTAAAATCTACAAATATCATTTGCTGGTAAGTAAAAATGCAGCACATGACTGATCTGAAGAGTTCACAGCATTCTGCAGAATGGAATTGGTCTCTCAGAGCAGTGTGGTCTTTGAGTTCCTCCTTGAATGCACCTGCTTCTGCCTTCTTTATTGAATCCTCTTCCACTCCCACATACCTCCATTTTCCGATTATTCCACTGGTAATGCTTTTTCAAAGTGGCATAAGCACTTCTCCAGCCTTCATTATTTGTTCAAATTCTTCCTTATAGGATACATTTTCCTCCTACATTGGCTCATTATAATTCTAGGTTATTCAATCTATAAATCTAGTTCCACCTCCTTCAATGATACGCTGAATGCCAAACCCTTCAATAACAATCTCTTCTAACTTTTTCAATATTTTTAATTACCATCATTCCATTCATTAACTTTGCATTTTGATTTCCTTAGTGTCTCCCCATATTTTGAATTCCTTAATATCTCCTTCTTACTGCCATAATTGTTTATTAGATTTCATTATGCAATATAAAACTCAATTCAATTAAGCTATAAGACTAATGTTTTGGAAAGTAAATAAAATATTTCAAGAAAAATTTGAAAATTCTGTTTCATTAAACAAGTTAAACACATCTAAAGGAATTAATGTGAAAAATTTTTACTGCAGAACTAGAAAATTATATGTTCAAGTTCTTTAGAGTCAAAACAAGGCTATGAGGAATTAATTATGCATTATCTCAGTTGAATTTTGTATTCCCTTTGTTGTTTTATTTAAATTTATTTCAAAACATAACTTTTTAGATATTACAAAGTCTGACATCAAGTATTTAAACATGATGATAGTAATAAGTTAAATTATTAAAAAAACTTACAATTTTTGTCTTGTAAATTTAAACCTTTTATGAAATAAAAAAATTAAAATAATAAAAATAAGCAATGTTAATTAGACTAGCTTATTTAAGATAGTTCAATCTCACCAGATTTCTCATCTAGCATTGCCTTTTTTCTTTCAGTAATTCCTGTCATTCTCTCTTCTTTGTCCTTTTTTCCTACCCTGTCATTTATGCTTTTATTTTCTTTTTTCTAAATATATTTCAAAATCATATAGACACGTAGAAACATATGATAAAATTAGAAGAATACATATATGTATATACACCTGTTTATCAATGGATCAATCTATTTGAATATATCACTTAGATTTTCTTCAATTCAACTTTTCTCAAACTTCTGAAAAATACTCTTAAGAAATACATTGAATAACTGGAAAATTACAAATACCTGATTTTGAGAAGATGTCTGAACTTCACGGGTTGCGTATATGTGTATATCCTGAGAAGAAGCAGAGCTTATGTCTACGGCGGAAGTCTGAATTTCAGAATTATGATGTTTTTCTTAGTGTAGAGCAAGAGCCTGGGAAAGAAGACAATAAAAGATAAAAACACACAGGCTTATAATACTTTAGTCTGTGCAGAAGAGTGCTCTGGATGTAACCACACAGGAAACTGCTTTACTGCTGCTCAATCTGGCTCATCTTTAGCCTGGGCCTTTCATCAGTCCTACCTTAAGTTACATAAGACACTGGTACATTTGCACTAATGCTCAGTTTCACACATTCCTTGCATTGTCAAAATCATTGTTGAATACATCACTGAATACATCATTAATCATTTAGCAAATAGTTTCAAATCTTCTAATGTACCTTTTTTAAAGCATTCTGCTTTTAGGATTTATTTATTTATTTGAGAGGCAGAGTTACACACAGAGAGAGGGAGAGACAGAGTGAGGTCTTCCATCTGCTGGTTCACTCCCCAAGTGGCTGCAATTGGTGGAGTTGGACCAATCCAAATCCAAGAGCCAGAAGCTTCATCTGGGTCTCCCACATGACTCCAGGGGCCCAATCTCTTGGGCCATCTTCCACCATTTTCCCAGGCCATTAGCAGGGAGTTGGATGGGAAGAGGAGAAGCCAGGAGGTGAACCCAACACCCATATGGGATGCCAGTGCCACAGGCAGAGGCTTAACCTACTATGCCACAATGCCAACCCCTTAGGCTGTTTCTAAATGTGTAAAACACACTCAATTAATTGGTAATTTCCATATAGTCACTCTTGTAATGTCTCTTTCTGAACACTTTCTATGAGTACTAGTTGCTATTCTTTCCTTCATCATTAGGTGATATATATAAGACTTTTCAAAATCCTCCTGGTGTATTGTTAGTGGGTTGACCATCAATTCTAGGAATATCATTCTAATAAATAAGTGACTAATCAACAAAAATTAAAATATTAATTGATGTATTTATATTCATGTGAAACTCAATTTAACAAAATAAACTCATTCTTGGTGTGATAAATATTCAACACTTTGAAAATTCCAGCATTGTTTTAGTTTAGTTAGTTAAAACTTAATATTCATTTTACACTTTTATCCTGTTTGCTTATATTGTTTATTGATTTTTTATTCAACTAAATATCTTTGCCTTTTAATTTGAGTTTTAGGCATGTGGGTTCATATCTACTATCTTGCTATTTGGCCCTTCTGTTTTTTTATTCTAATGTATGTCTTCATCCTACATTTTGGTAAACTGAGTATACTGTAGGATTCTGTTTCATCTCCACTCTTATCTGTAACTTCACTACTATCTCTTTTTAAGTTTAGTGATTTCTATGTTTGGAAATATGTATCTTTAGCTTATCACAATCTTCCTTCAAATACCAATTCTTGTGTATTATTAAAACATTTTAACAGCACAATTCTTCATTTGTCAAAGTTCTACATAAAAACAACACAAAGAGGAGAGGAGAATAGAACTAGACATAAGTCTAGTCATGGAGCCAACCAGAGAGCAAATTCTTACTTCCTCTACATTTTTTTCCATTCAGGTCTTCAATGGATTGGTTGATGCTCCCAATGGATTGGCTGATGCTCCCCTATTTGGGGGCTGGGGAGGAGTCTACTTTACTCAATCTAACAATTTAAATGCTAACTTCATCCTGAAACATAATAATCATCATATTCTTTCTTGTATGTATTACCTCCTTCCTTTTTTTAATTTGAGGTTGTTTCCTCCATAAGTTGCTATCATTTTAACTATTTACATTTATTTTAATTTTATCTAAAAGGCAGAGACACGATGGTGGGGGAAGAGAAGAGAGAGATTGATTTTTCATCTGTTGGATTGTATCCCCAATGCCTGTAACTTCCAAGGTTGGGCCAGGCCAAAGTCGGAAACTTGGAATTCAATCCAGATCTTCCACAAGGGTAGTAGGAATTTGACTACTTTAGCTGATGTCTCCCAGAGTATGTGTTACTAGGAAGTTGGATCAGAAACAGAATAGAGAAGACTTGAACCAGGCGCTCAGATATGGAATATGGGTGTCCCAAGTGGCATGTCAGACACTGTACCAAACAGCTGCCCCAGTTGATACCATTTTAAATAAAGACTCTTACTTAACAAATTTCCCAATATTTTGATACCTAATAATTTTGCAATCATCCATTTCCAAATAGTACATATTTTTGTTAAATTAGTCTTCAAGTACTGAATAATACATGGAGACTTTAAAATGTATGCCCTCCATATTAATAACTAACTTAACTTGATTGTTGTAAGAATGGCTTATAGGTGCTTAATCTTTCAAAGATGTTGTGATACTCATCATATGTGAACATATATCTATATCTTTACCTGTAGTTACATTCTTCCTATGTGAGGCTGGGGAACAATAATATTCTCCTATTATTTATAACCAGATAGATAGATAGATAAAATAGATAGTTAATTTTCTCTTTCAAATATTATATTATTTGTGAAGCTTTCATTTTCTATCTTAATAGCTTATAAATTTTTAAAATAAATAGAGACTTCATTTTTTTCCATTTCAGTTCTTCTCTCAACATTTTAATGCATTCTGAAGTCTTATGTCTTATCTCTTATGCGACACATACGTATTAAGAACACTATGTCCTTTTCAAGAGAGAAAATTCAAATGGCCAACAGACACATGAAAATGCTCAGGATTGCTAGTCATCAGGGAAATGCGAACCAAGACCACAATGAGGTTTCACCTCACTCCACTAAGAATGGCTTTCATACAGAAATCAACATGAATGCTGAGGAAGATGTGGGGAAAGAGGTACCTTAAACCACCGTTGGTGGGAATGTAAACTGGTGTGCCCACTGTAGATGACAGTGTGGAGATACCTCAGAAATCTGAACATATACCTACCACATGACCCAGCCATCCCACTCCTGGGAATTTACCCAAGGGAAATGAAATCGGCATATGAGAGAGTGATCCACACCCCCATGTTTATTGCAGCTCAATTCACAGTAGCTAAGATATAGAATCAACCCAGATGCCCTTCAACTGAAGACTGGATAAAATGTGTATATGGTATATACACACTATGGAATACTACACACCAGTAAAATAATGAAATCCTATCATTTGCAACAAAATGGATGCAACTGGAAACCATTATATTTAGTGAAATAAGCCAGTCACACAAAAAAAACAAATACCACATGTTCTTCCTTATCTGTGGTAACTAATAGAGTACCTAAATGGTAATCTAAATGAGTGAAATTGATACTTTGTGATGCAATGATTTTGAACAGCTCTGTCTTGACTGTTGAGGAATAGTGTTTTTTGTTCATTTTGTTTTGTTTTGTTTTTTCTTCATACTATTTGTTGAACTCTTTACTTAGTATAAGGTTAATCTCATGAGTATAAAGTTAACTGAAAATAGATCTTCATAAAAAATAAGAATGGGAATAGAAGAGGGAGGAGGAAGAAGGGTGGGATCACAGGAGGGAGGGAGATCAGGTGGGAAGAATCACTGTGTTCCTAAATTTGTGTATACAAAATGCACGAAATATGTATTCCTTAAATAAACTGCTTTAAAAAGGAATCCTATGCCTTCTTGTTGTTAAAAAATTAATTGTAAGTTTTGAACGCTACAATTAATTCTCCCATCCTGATAATGTTTTTTGTCTCCCATTATATTTCATCCAATATTTGTAAAGATAAGTAAATTTTTGCTTGGTCAGTTTGCACCTGATATATATTGTTTCCTCTTACTATGTTTCAGATTTGGCTTGTTCTCCTGAATTTTGTGTGTGTCTCTCTCTCTTTTTTTTTTTTACAGGCAGAGTGGACAGTGAGAGAGACAGAGAGAAAGATCTTTCTTTACCGTTGATTCACCCTCCAATGACCGCTGCGGCCAGCGCACCACGCTGATCCGAAGCCAGGAGCCAGGTGCTTCTCCTGGTCTCCCATGGGGTGCAGGGCCCAAGGACTTGGGCCATCCTCCACTGCACTCCCGGGCCACAGCAGAGAACTGGACTGGAAGAGGAGCAGCCGGGACAGAATCTGGCACCCCAACCGGGACTAGAACCCGGTGTGCCAGCGCCGCAGGTGGAGGATTAGCCTATTGAGCCATGGCGCCGGCCTCTTGTGTCTCTTCTAAACTGCATATACTCCTACAGTATAAAAATTATCTATATTTTCTTTGAAGGACATCAATTATTTTATCAGTATATCTTCTAATAGGCAACTAACACAATTTAAATATTTTTAATATTTTTAATATTGATATATATTTAGAGTTTTTCTGATCATATTGTTATTTTGTACTTATATCCTTTCTGTTATCCTTAAGTTTTTCTCATTGCCTTTTTAAATAAAAATGAGTTTGTGGGGAGCAACTGGGAGCAACTCGGACTAGACTAAGTTACTGGAATTAAGACTTATTCTATGCATCTGCTCTCCCACAATATGGCGCTGGGAGAGGAGGAAACAGCTTATACCCAGCTGCCTCTCACCAACTTGACAAGCTGCAGGACCTGCTCCTGATTGGAGGAGAGCAGCGTACTTGGCATGTGGGTAGCAGAGTTGGGATTGGTGGAAAAGGACTATAAAGGAGGAGAGAGACAACATGCACCAGGAACATCTAAGGGGAACATCTATCTGAAGGAACACCTGAGGAACATCTGAGCAGCCCCCGAGAGAGCCGGCCGGCGGTGTGCCGCTCCCCCGCGGAAGTGGGGAAAGTGGCTAGGGGGAACCTCCCTTCCACGGAGGTGGAAGGGTCGGTAGCCAACCCGGGAAGAACCAGCAGCAAACCTGGGGAGGGCCGAGCAGACGAAAGAACAACGCAGGGTCCTGTGTTGTTCCTCCACGAAGACGGGGAGTGACAGAGTTTTAAAAATAATTTATTAAAATGAATTTTATGTAACACAAAGGAACAATTTTTAAAATTTTTTCATTTATGTATATGAGAGGCAGAAAGATGCTGACATATGGAGAAAGCATTCTCACCCACTCTTCAAAAGCCCACAAAGGCTGGGACTAGGATGGCCTGAAGCTGGAAGATGGGAACCAACCCAGTTTCCCACATGCATCCCAGGAGCCCACTTGCTTTAGCAATCACCATTGCCTCCCAAGTCTGCAATGGCAGGAAGCTGGAGCCAGGAGCTAGAGCTGG